TAGTAAACGTGGATACATTAAACAAAACAACATCTCCCTAAATCCATGGCTTACTATTGAAAAACAGTAACGGATACGGTATTTTTGGTATGTATACAGGGTGTTGCACACAAACACCAACTTTGGGTTTTCGACTCGCTCGGAATGAACCTACTAACCGTGATTTTTTGTTTAAAAAAAACTGTGCTTGTGATTTATATCGAACTCCTCCTGGTCTATAACTTTTGATTGAGAAGTCTGATCGAAAAAGTACGAATTGATTTGGATTCTACGCACCCAAATTAATAAGAAAAAGTGTTTTCGCGAGAAATTTTGGTGTAGTCGATTTTTGGTAAAAAAGGAAGGTTATACACTGCCTTTTTTTGAGCCCCGAAAAAAAAATTGTCTCAGATCGACCCGGAAAAAATTTTCTTATAGAATGTGGCCTGTAGAATCCATAATTTCAAACAGTTCCAAGATTGGGCTACTAGTTCAAAAGTTACAGCCCTTTAAATTTTTTTTCGAAATTGGTTTCTAGTCTATAACTTTTGATTGAGAAGTCTGATCGAAAAAGTACGAATTGATTTGGATTCTACGCACCCAAATTAATAAGAAAAAGTGTTTTCCCGAGAAACTTTGGTGTAGTCGATTTTTGGTAAAAAAGGAAGGTTATACACTGNGCGACCTATTGTAATACGACTATCTTGTGGCACGAGTGGCGACGCGAAGCGTAGCCACGAGTGTCCGCAAGATAGGAGTATTACAATAAAGCAAATTGTAACACGCGTTTTTCATACTATTTTTTCTATTTCGGTGCTTTAATTTAATTAAAAAAATCATTATCAGAAACTATAGGGAACATTAGAACTAACATGTTTTATGTTGGGAACACTTTTTATGCCGTTAAGTTTTAGATTGGCAGCGTAGTAAGACTGACATTTTGAAGTTCAAACATGGAAGTACCCAACGAAGTACCTACTTGTACTAACTAGTAACTGCCAACTTAAGAAATGAGTTACCAAAAAAAAAACGACTATAATCACTGTCTTTGTACAACTGTTTTCAGCCGAAAACAGTTGTACAAAATCATCATTGTGACACCGAAATAGAAAAACAATATTATAGAATCTATTTCTCAAATCATACCACACGCTAATGTTGTCTTTCTTATATTACGTTTGCTTGTCTTATTTGTTTATCAGTGTTTTTATTTGCCAACTATTAAAGTTATATTTGCTCGCGTTTATTGTACCTACAATGAAATTGTGGGTTTGTTCATTTAATGATTGGCGAAAACAGTTTTGATATCCACCTTTGGGTATCGTCCGTCTGGCTGATCGAAACTTGCTCTGTCGTCTCGTCTTGAGGTCGCAGAAAGGACTGTAAATTGCACAGAGCAGGTAGGAACAGGACAATTATGGGTACCAATAAGAACCTTTTTTCGATGGAAAGTTTATTGTATACTCCACCTATTTGATTACACGTTCACAATAGGAAACTCAAATTTGAAATTTACCGCAAAAGCAGGCTAGGCGATAGCTTTATCAATTTATCATATTATAGCTACCGAAAAATGGCGACCTTGATTAAAATCCGCATGACTACCGTGCATTGTATATCTACTATCCGACTCGTAGTCTTCGATTATATGATATATCGTATAGCCTGTGACTATCCTCATTCGTCTAAACTGTACCTTCTTAGGTATTTGACTGTGGTTTATTGAATCTAAAAAATATTTAAAAAAAAGTATCATTAGTCATTACACATACCGAAAACCATTCAGTTGCTTGTTTACAATGAACGTATGTGTAAGAAATATACCGGGTGATTCATTAGAACTGATGACAGTTTGAATTTCGCGTGTACAATTTAGTGTTTTTTACGGGATAGAATTGGCAATGATATATTTTTAGTTATTTTCCTAATTCTTATTAGTCACCAGTACATAAAACTTAAGAATTTAGCAACTGTATAGAAACATACGGAGGTGTTTATAATGAACGTAATTTTTACGTACCTTTACGTAAGTGATATCAAAGACTATCCTCTATAGTCTTTGGTGATATGTAAGTCTTGCGCGTATTCACAAAAGTTGAAAATTTTTCTTTACGTACGGCTTAAGTAAGTTGCTAGTAAAACTACATAATTAATGTTGGTTGCAACGGTGGGTTGGCGTAATTGAAAAAAATATTTGTTTCTGTTTACATTGATGGTCTGTGGTTTTCATAGTACATATTTAATTCCCGACGCTTCCTTCGCGTTCGCAAACACTTTCTTTGGCGATTTTTAATTCTACGCGAGATTCTACGTATAAAAGTAATAATAAAAGATTTACTACAGACGTATCCGCGTCCATATTTTGGCGACAGATATTAATAGGTTATGTTTACAAATTTACTGCATGAAGTATACTCGTTTTGCAGATAGATGTCCCTTGCATTTCTTCCTATAAATTAACGTAAAAAATTACGTTTATTGTAAACAGCAATTAAGTTTACTGAAACGATACGAATATGTACGAGTTACGGATTATGACATATTTATGTATACGTTCATTGTAACACAAGCTTAAACTATACGTAGGAACGTACAGACAGCGTGCTTCAATTGTCCAAAATACAGCGTGGTCCGTTAAAGTGTGCGACAAATGGGACATTTTTTTATTAGTTGCGCAGTTGAAATATAAATACCGTCAAGAGTTGGTGCATGTTTGATAACAATTTTATACTCAATTCGAATGACTTCAAGTTAAACAGTATACAGGGCAGGCCAAATAAGATTTGCTCAAGAATCAAGTACATACCATAAATTCTATTTCTATATAGCAAATTATTGAGAAAAGTTATGCCTAAATACAAAGCAATGGCTTTTTTAGACGAGTAGTCGATTACTTTCTCATCAGAGGATGTACAGGGTGACTCACTATTGGGATCTCCGTAACGGTGAGAGATACAGTGTAGGTTAAATAGGGCCCTTTTGTGACTAAAAAAAAACGCATTTGAAAGTTTTGAAAATTTTTTGAAAATATGTAAGATATACACTTTGTCCAAGATAAGGATGTCTCTCATGGGGATTCCCGAAACTATAGAAGATACGACGATGGTCAAATAGGGGAAAAGTTGCGCAATTAAACATGCTTTTAAGAAAAACCTGAAAATACCGATTACTTCCGAAGATATGCCAGAAAAACCGAAATTTGCCGATTTGGTTTCTATTTTTTTCTGATGTTATTTGAACAGATAGAAAAAAATTAAAAACACTTTTCTCATTGCCTGCACTATTTGTGTTCTTCAAGAAACCCAATTCGTAATAAAAAATGCTACTCAATACATGATGTACTTTTTGTGCGGGCCAAAAACTGTTGGTGATGATTTCTCCGAAACGCTTTGTTTTGAAAATATCTCAACGGTGTCTTGTAGAGTTCAAAAAGTGCATATAACTTCCGAAGTAATCGGAATATTATGGTTTTTTAAGGCATGATAATAACTCTTTAATTGTGCATCTTATCCCTAATTTGATCATCGTCGTATCTTCTATGGTTTCGGAGATCCCCATGATCATGACATCATCTTGGACATCTAAGTTATTTTCAAAAAAATTTCAAAACTTTCAAAAAAAGGGACCCATTTAACCTACACTGTACTCACCGTTATGGAGATCCCAATGGTGAGCCACGAATTTGTAACCACCCTGTTCATACTCTGATGAGTACTACTCGTCTAAAAAATAATTGATTCTCGGTTACTGAATACAATTAAAAATTTAATCGATTATTGATAAAATGATAACGATTAAAAAACGATTTCGTCAGGGGAAAACAACCATAACATTCAATTGTACACAAATATATGTATAATTCGAATTGATAAAACGAAAATGCAAAATACGGAAAATTTCTCGTTTGGAGTGGGCCATTATTGGGGTAGGTATTTTCGAAGTATTATCTATTACGATTTTTGAAACGCAAATGCTGGAACTTTTGGAGATGTGTTCTACAGCCCAATTTTTGACATGGTTAACTGTTATGGCTTTTTCCGATCTTGTGGTAATTTTGTCGAAGTAACTGTCCACAAACAATATTCCTCTAATGGGCAAAAACTAAATTTGTAGAGGAATTTTTCGAAAAAAAAATTCCTCGTTTGTGATGGTTTTGTCCGTCTGTTCCTCGTCTAGCTCGAGAACGAAGGGAGGCAGCGACGTCAAACCTTCGCCAATCGATTTCCGGGAGTTGAAGGATCAGTGCTATTGAATATGGGCCGGATTAAAAGTCTGGTTTCCGAATGAGTGCAGTGGAAAAAAATTTCCTATTGAAAACCGTATACGATTCTTGGTATCTTGTTATAATGGGATCTTTTCGGATTTTTAAAATCCACTAAAGCAGTTCTGGTAAAAGTAATAGTTGGTGCGTAAAAACGGCAGTTTATGATTAGAAGTACGCATTACATAATTGTCTATTATTATGGTCATTCGGTCATGGTATAGTTTGAGGCAAACCAGAATTTTACATTGCAACTTTCACCATAGTTACTGAATGCAGTGTAATTAATACTAGGTAGAATTTTTGCAATATTTCTCGGTGACTTTGTGTTTAGATAATGCTATATTATAGTTATCTTGAACAAAGTGGGAGCGACAATAAAAATGACGGATTATGTTACTACGTAGTATGTTGTTACACGTGGATTTTATGTCCTCCAGACAGTATCTTAACATACTACAATTTGCGATAAGCATTAATTCAAAACATGTACTACGTACTTTTACTCACCATTGGAGTTCAAGTTGAATTTAATTAACCTAGGCTAGTTTCACACAAAGTCATCGAAAAGTACCTACATAATTCTGAAGGAAAATTATAAAATGGTAGACGCGCAGATTACATACATTGAAAACCTTATCTTGGAAAATCCCCCTTTTACAACCCAACATTTTTGTTGTGTAAAAATGACATGGCTGTGACTCAATTTCCATAATAATACCTTCCACGCACCTTCCGAAGGAAGCAGTCGGTTTAATAAATCAATTATGTAACCAAATCCTCTTATGTACGAATAAATTGGTATGATCACCTGACTATTTCGCCGTGGAAAATTTTATAATTACTGTAGTGGGTGTGATAAGTGGAACATGTAATGGTCTCGTTGTTGAACAGGATACGGCGTGCCGGATTAGTCACCGAAAGTTATCAAAGCGGGTGCATAATTTCGGTTTCTTATCTTACCCAAAAACGCACAAAAAAAGGCGCGAGGGGTAAGTAATTTCCTAGTTGTCTTTACCAAAATTTAGTGGTAGTTGCAAAGTTAGTTTAGATGGGATGGTTGAATTGTCGTTTCTATTTAGGGAAGGTATACTGGGGATCCAAAATAACTGCACACAGTTTAAATTTGCCTGAAAAGAACTTTACGGTGATTGTTTAATTAGCATTACTATCCCCCGCGGACAACGTTAGAATAAATATTTCAATACATGAACCGGAGCATGTAACTGTGTGCTCGATAAATTAATGTTTTAATTAATTACTTGTGATTATTGTTTAGTGATCTATTAAGTTGATCCACCACTTTTAAATAAATGATATTTGGTATATTACCAACTTTATAAATGTTTAGCTTTGCGGGAAATTGAAACTGTCCGCAGTCATTTTGGATCACCCGGTATACTCATACAGTACGTCACAGCCGGAATGGCAGAGCCGTTCTTAGGGTGGAGCCAGGTCTCGCGCTGAAAAAGGCCTCACTCCCGCTAAAAATTAATGTTTTGTTCAATGAAAGTAATATAATAACATTTTAATATATAAATATACAGGGTGCCCATTATGTATGAAATATAGTACACAGTGAATTTTTTTTAAATGCGAACATAGGAGTCAATGTAATTTCCCTATGTTCGATTTTTAAAAAAACACATCAATCTATTGAGTAGTTCAAATGAGTAGTAGATACAATTGCCAGCTGTCACATTTTTAAAAATACCGCCGTCCAATTTAATTACGAAATCGGGTAGGTTATGGCTTAGAATGTCAAGGAGGACACTTCGAACATTTATTGTAATTGTTTTCGTTATTTATATTCTTATTTTCTTCATTTAAGTATTGAATAGATCAAATTAGTAGAATACCAGGTGCACATGACCTACTAATAATTGAAGGTTGGTTCACAATGAGTTGTGGTGTCAGCGCGTGCCCTGTGAGACCAAGTTATTGTAAGTTTAAGAAAGATTTATTCTAAAGTTGCTATGGCCTCACATTACATGGCGTCTTACCGAGCGTTCTTCATCATCAAGACTATAGAGTTGCTGTTCATAGTCACACAAGTTGCGCGTTTTGCTGGTTGGAATCTGAACCGCGCACACCTCATAGATTGATGTGTTTTTTTTTAAACCGAACATAAGGAAATTACATTGCATGCAAACTCCTATGTTCGCATTTAAAAAAAAACTCACTGTATATTTCGGTAAAGATCGACTGTATACAACAATTTTTTATATGAAAGTTGTTAAACATTTTATTTCCCATAACACTCCATTGCTTTTATTCCAGAAAACAAATGAATAACGAAAATAATTGAATTCTTTAAATAGCAACGCACATTTTCATTAGGCTCATTTGATAGAGATTTTTTTTCTCTTTTCAGTGACATAACACGTTAGCACCCGTGTATGTAGAAGAAATTAATTTTTATTTCAAGTTTTTTGGGATAGGTTATGCCACTGCCTTACAGTTAATGATGAACATTTTGAACATTAATTGCAATGAAAACCATTTTACTCTCGATTTTACTGCTAATTTCGTTTTGTCTTCAAGGCTCGCTTCAAGGTTTAATAAGAAACGTACACGTTCATATGTTTTATTTTGATGTAGGATATCTGGATTAATGTTATTCATCTAATTGTGATACATTTTTTTGAAAAATTTTCTTGAATAAGGGTAATAATATGTTATATCATCGAAAAGGGAAAAAAATCTCTATCAAACGAGCCTAATGAAAAGGTGCATTGCCATTTAAAAAATTCAATTGTTTTTCGTTACTTACTCATTTGTTTTCTGAAATCAAAACAACTGAATGCTGCCATTTATGGGAATAATGTTATATCTATTTGATATTTACCGAGATATATAGGTACCTACTACATTCCAAACATAATGGGCACTCTATATAATATAATATATATGTCTGATTACCCGCGCAATATGTTCAACTATTGATTAATTAAAAAACCTACGAACGAAATTCACATTCGTACGAGATGCATGATCTCCTCTCCCTTTCGCCGCGTGACAGTCATTCAAAGTGCTTAAAATGACGACTTTGCATGTATAATATTCCAAAAATTTCCGGAGTAGGACCCACTCCCCCCGAGGGTCCTCCGGGGGTATTCCATAACCCCCCTACTATTTCATTTTTTTAACATTTGTGATTCAATAAAAAAAACTCTTCTCTTCACTATTCAGCGACAATTTTCGGATCAACATATCAATGATGTGTTCCTGCGTGCAATAAGTGTACTGATCGCATTTGTTTCAAACAGAGAAGGTGGTTACGTTAAGAATCTTCTTTACCTAAGCGCAACTTTTTTTTACATTATAGTGTAGATAATTATAGTTGCGAGAGGTAAGATGATATTCTTGCTTTGTCAACTTCTGTCTTGGTCCTTAGTTAGTTCCCGCCGACACTGTGCAGCGGCGCCACTTGTTACAAATTGTTGATTTGATACAGACTTTATTTTCAAAAAATATGATTTCATTTTTTGGGGAAATGTTTAGAAGTGACGGTTTACTTGTTCCATAAATCTTGATCGAGAGTAAAAAATAAAACACATTAGCCAATAATCGGTGCAAAACAATCGGTATTCAGTTGCTATAAACTTAAAAAAAATGGGCCGAACATTTTGTAGATAAAGGTCTAAATTTATAAAATAGTTCTTAAAAAAATTGTTTTTTGAAAAACAGCTACAGCGCATGCTCTTATGGAAATTTATCTTGGGTTTAGTAGGTGCAGATGCGCAACCAATAAGTAGGTGCAATATCCACAAAATTATTCTTCGGTGTTTATTGGATGATGGTATTTTCGCAAAATGTAGTCCAATTTTTAAATTCAAATTCAAAAAGCCTAACCTCCTCGATTATAATAACAGCGAGGGAATTACTTATGGGCATAATAACTATGTTATGGGCTAGCCTTATTCAACTCGCTGAATCAGTTCCAGGTATTTTAATAATTCACCAATTGCAAGTGAAATGAGTCATGATTTTGACTCGAAAAGCACGCAAAATGTGATTCTTCATTTACGAAATCTTATACTGGAATCGTAGCATATTGAGGCTCGCCCCGGTATGCACAATAACGAAAGATAGGTTGTCCGCACGCAGACCCAAATTTCCTTTTTCGGGGGGGGGGGGGCGTTCTTCTGAAATGTTTGGTTGTTCAAGTTGAAGTACACCAAAGCGTTAAATTACGTTTGACTGTGCAAAGTAGGTGTGTCATTTTCCTTGTAAATACAAATTTGATGGAAAAAAATGTGGAGCATAGTTCTCAGATCGTATTCAAATGCGTAAGCTGTGATTCCTTGGCTTGAAAATGTGACTTTTATAAGTTACTAATGTTAATAATAATCAAGTATTTTGGTATTAGATGTGAAATAACAAAGTTCATGGTTTCACTCGTACAGATGGAAATGAACAATGATGTAATAAGCCTGTAGTGAGATATTGCCGAATGTAATGGTGAATTGTGTAGAAATGGGTCCATACTTTACCATATCGGGCGAGATTTATTTTTAACTACGACCGCAAATTACAGAATTGTCATCTATTAATATTCTACACCACCTCCTGGTGGATTGACTAGCTGACACGATCGTTTATAATGTAGTGTTTTGTTTTGTACAAATTAGCCACACATTTCTGTAATGGCCAATCACTAATGGCTTCAATCAACTTTGCCTGCCAAGTGATGCAATTGTTTAGCTGGGAATACATTTAATTCACAAAAGTAACGATATGCCAATAGGAAGTTTAAAAGTAGCATCACATGTGGTGGGCACCAATCAGTGCCCTGGCTATAAACAATTTTGTTTGTACAGCTCGTGTCGGATATTTTGCACAAAATTTTCGTCGTCGGTGATTCAGAGAGAAATGTGTGGTTCACGCATAACACTTTACAAAGCGTACGTTCAAATAAATTGGCAACTTCATTCAAGGCGAAATTGAATCATGTTTAACAATCATACTCTCGGGAATTAGCAGAAGTGGTTGTGCTTGAATCACTATTTAAGGTTTTTTGCGTTGTAGTACACGTGCCATTAGCTTGTAGCACATGGAAAAGGACGTAGAAGATTAAATACACAATTCAAAATAGCAGGAAAACATCGAGTTTTCCTATTATAGCTTGGAAGGATTCTTTATCTGTGTTTATTTTTGCATTTGCTGACCTTAATACTACTAACCTCGTTATGTCAACAGTTAAGGATTGGAACACGTTGTTATAACAGCATACATACCTCGGACTCGGACCTCGCGTTGGTCCTTCACGTGATATCAGCTGTGTCCTTATCTGATAAGAGGGTGATGCGGAGCGGGAGGGTCAAAACTACTTGCCTCGATTACCGTCGCTTAAATTACAATCGGCAGCTTGCCTGTGTGGCGTTGGAACGTTTTATTATTGAACTTTGACAGTGACGTTTGTGTTTATTTCTTTCGTATTAAAAATTACGCCACTCTACGTCATAGTGGTGGGTGTGTTACTCTCTAGGCACTTCCATTGGAAGATTCGATGATAAAGCACAAAATGACATGACAAATTTTAATTAATCAAACCCATCTCAGATTTTGACAATATTAATTATTTGGACTTATTTTGGTTTCAGGACAACACCGATCGGGTGAAGAAATTTTTGAGAAATTGGAGCAAAACCATCGTTGTACAATAGCATAAACGAGCAAGGGGATGGTTTACTTGTTGGCGGATTGGGGTATGGGAGAACATGAAACACGAAGTAGACATTATGCAGAGCAATCTCAAGATTTGCTTTGTCTTGAACAGCGGGACGAATTTGATGAAGTTGATCTTCACCCCCTTAGTAATCAGGTAAGGACCACCCTCGTTTTTGTGTGCGCCAATTTCGTTTGCGAAATATTCGCGGAGAAAGTTATCGATTTCTAATTTGCCGTTTAAATGGGGACACAACTCGGCTATTTAACCTTACGTTGCATTCGTTAATGGCAACAAATACCTACTCCCACGCTGTTTATGTTGCATAATCTGCCAATTTTTTCCATATTAAATCAACCTTGCACCAAATTGCCACACTCCACTTGGCACCTAGCATACAAAATATCCAAAACTGCAAATGACATCTATTAATCAAGGCGAAACATACTAGCATATACAGGGTGGCCTTTGTAGAAATAGATACCTCCTCCCTCCTAGCGTCCCTCATGTACCGCTTATTTGTTTTGGATGCACATTGACAGTGAATTGAAGGTGGGGGAGGTTCAAGAGGTAATATGGTGTCCGAATGGCTATTCTTTGGAAAATAGTGTGGACACCTGGACGGTATCATTTGAGCATGTAGGTATTGTGGACTTTGTTCTGTACGGCGCGTTTAATCTGAACGCTACACCAAAACAATGTAATCGACTTTGTTGACAAATAGACGAGTGCAATTATCAAGAATATTACAGAGAGCATATTTTCAAATTTTTGCCCTCCACAAGGGGTGTTCGTAACTTCTCTAAGTGTAGTCTCTAAGAAAATGCAATTGATTCTTTCTTCTTTAAATCAGAATATTCCCTACGCCAATTGTCATGACGAAACAGATAAATATCAGTTTCCAAGTAAGTAAATTAAATTCACTAGAAGAATCACTATCATATTATCAGATTCGTATATCTCTGACGTATTGATGTACCTATTACTCTAAGCATTGATAAGATTTTCTTTGGGAATATACTTATCCATTTCCTTTTTTAACGCATTTTCCAATTCATGTTGGAAGGCGCTATATGGCCACTTTCTCCGTACATCCGTCCGCCTGTCCGAGGCGTTAACTACCCTACCCCTACAGTTTTCAAGATATTTAATTCGTTATTTTTGAATTCGGTAGCTTTTTGTACGAACGTGTACGGGTGTTATAACATTGTGTTCCAAGTTCAAACACATTGCGTTAATCCAAAGTTCGATAAAATGAATGCACGTGGAAGGACTGCTTTATCGCTCTGGCACCTCAACGAAGAAACCCAATCGCATATTGTAAAAATCAAATGTACGCATGCGCAATCTGCGCAATGTCAACTATGTCATTTATAATTAGATTTTTCTTTAACTTTTTCTTCGAATAATTAATAAATGTAATTCATATTTCCTTCTGTTTTTATCACATAAAAGAGAGCGCATGCGCTCTCTCCTGCATCGATGCGTATACCACGAGCAGCTGTTATTCTGTGTCCTTCTCTTTCACACGGAACAGTACGGTTGTCGCAATTCTACGTAGCACGCAAGAGAGAAACATGTGTATCGTTCCGTGTGAAAGAGATCTTAAACCTACAAATACCCTAGTGCAATTTCTTATACAGAGTGGTGACTTGCGTCACGCATCATAGGGATTTCAATGTAAAATTCATAACATGCGATTATTGGCTCCCCAAATTATTTTAGAGCAAAAATGTATTAAGGTTTTTTGTAGAAAAAAATTTTTTACGTCAATAAACCCTATTAGTTTTCAATTTTTTACATAATAAAGACGGAAAATTGGAAAAATAAAACCCGCATCTTTTTCAATAATCTGCGATGCCATGGAATTTTCTAAAACAAAAAGATGTCCAGTTATCAATTAGCAGCAGTTCGAAATGGATTTTATGATCGACTTGGTTATTGTCTTGCAGTTAATGGTGACTTATTCGAACATTTATTGTAAATTGTTATGTTAGGAAACCATTTTTAGTAATTTGATCTTTCTTTATGTTGAATTCGCTGTTCTAAATACATATAATACTTTTTGAATTGATTTGCTTTATAGCAGACATTCCATGGCATGACGGATATTGTAGTTTTTGTATTATAAAATTCCATGGCATCACAGATTATTGAAAAAGATGCGGGGGTTATTTTCCCAATTTTCTGTCTTCATTATGTAAAAAATTGGAAACTAACGCGGTTGATTGACGTAAAAAATTGTTGTCTATAAAAACCTTAATACATTTTTGCTCTAAAATAATTTGGGGAGCCAATAATGGCATGTTATGAATTTTACATTGAAATCCCTATGATGCGCGACGCAAGTCACCACCCTGTATACAAATTATAGAAATTAGTATAGTAGCGGCCGTCGGCGGCAACCTGAGTGTTCCGTCGGCGGAACGAACAGACGGACGGACTCGCGCGTACAAAGCGAACGGCCTCGCGTATGGTCGAGGTCGGCGGTAGGAATCGGATGGGTTCACAGTAAATGGCGGCGGTCACTTCGCAAAATCTAAAACAAAATTACGGCCAACTCCCTAACCTGAATGAAGGCAACAAAACATACATCTGTTTCTTCTGCTTCATAATTAATTACGCCTTCCGCCGACATTGGAAAAAATATGGGACTGGTGTCAAAATGCAAATTCTTAAGGGCGCACTTAACGGATGTAATGGCGACTTCACCGGAGGTTGTTAGCTGTAACCCATTCAACTAATTACGGTTAATTATATTTATCCAAATAGTAGGAATGAAATCCCCAAATTCGGCAGTCCAGCAATGCCCTTTTATTTTTTGGAATGTGAGGTCAAGCGATGCAAACTGCACGACCTTGCCGGTTTCAATCCTGGATTTTCGTATATCATTAGAAAACTAAAATGGATTAAGGACCTAAAACTTAATAAGCTTGATTCTCTTCTCCCCGGTTGCAAAGCGAATTCACTGCGAAACTTACGTGCGTTAACGGCGGTACGATAAATAATTAAACAAAATGAAACCACACAAAACTCATTCCTCGTCTCCTAGAACAAATACGTAAATTCCGAAACTACGGTTTCTTAGTAACCAACAAAACGTTTCTAGATACCGGGTGTTCAGCAATTCTGGTCAACTCCACAAGTATACGGTGTGGTCATAACTTCGGGTATGAACTTCAAGGCGGAAAATGGGTGCTTCGTTACAGAACTTCGTGTAAACGTTAATTCACTAGACTAAACTGAACTGTGGTCCTACTTACTGGCGTCGTGTAGATACGGCATTAACCTTCACACGAAACCAGTTCATTGGATGCAGTCAGAATGTCCAGTCGGCCCGGAGCCATGGATGAGTGCGCATCATCGGTGTCGGAAAAGAAGAAAAGAGAGTTGAAAAGAGATTCAGGCGGTGTATCATCTCAGTTGTTCAACTGAATAGGTTGCACAAACATTATTCCCCCTTATACTATTCGACGAATTTCATATTCATATCTGTATCCCACTTTTGAGGTGCCACTATAACACGCAAACATATCCCATATTGTAAAAATCAGTTGTGCGCATGCGCAGACTGCGCAATGGCAACATTTTATTTATGCAGATATTACTTTGAAATTTTAACCATATATGCCTCTAGTAAAGAAAATCACAGCGCACATAGCTATGGCCTTTTGGGAAGTACCTACTGATCATTCATGGAAAATGCGCTGAAGTTACTCGCCTTAGGGCGAAAACCTTTTTACCTGTTCTTTTAACGCAAACCGTACTGAACACTGATAATAAAAAAAATAAAAATGATCGTTTTAATCTTTGCTAGTTTATTAGACTCCCCCCTGCTCAATATCGGCAAACAACCCGTCCGTTTGGTTAGACCCTAAGTATGTATTCGTCACGTTGTCGTCTGAATTTGGTAAAAAGTGGAGTTGTGGGAATTTATACTTAATAATTTACTTAATTAGTGGTGGAGCGAACGGTGGAAAGTCAAAAACACTATAGAAAGCTTTCTAAGTTACACCAGGATATCGGAAGTGTACTCACCTTTTTTATGCTTTCTAACATTTTCTAAATTCCTTGCGAAGATAGGACGTGAACTTGATCCTACCCATTTTATTATTTCCCTTATTCTTCATTTAAGGAAAAGGTTATAAATTTCTTGATTGTTGACAGTATAATATTATTTTCAGGTCGGAGGACATACAAGACTTATGGTATTGAATCCCAGTACAATTTGCAAACCGCTGAACTATAGAGAATTAGAATTCTACCGAAATATTCAAGACAAAGACATCAGACATTTTGTACCAAAATATAAAGGTAAGCCGAGTAGGTAATAAGCCAGTGTTCGAACAAAGACTAATTTCAAGTGAACTTTACGAGTAACAGTGAATAATTTTTTTACTTACGTAATAAGAACTTTCACTTGCGTAAGTCAAAATTCCTGAACAGAGTTTGTGATAATAATGTTTGAACAATTCTAGTTCCTTTTTATAATCAAATTTCTCACACCTGGAATTGTTCAAAGGGTTATAAGCAATTGTTAATAGTTAGTGCTAGTTTAAATATATACATTATAGTACTATTTTTGTGTTGTATGAATTGAGAATTAGCAAATAAATTGTTTTAGTACAGAATTCTAAATTAGTGAAGCATGTAGAATGATTTTTACCTAATAGGTTTGTGAAATTATTGGAACATGTCGCCTAACATTAATCGTTGTCATTTTATTTTTTTGTTTACATAAATTAACAATAAATGTCATGTGTTTGTCTGATACATACGATCTGCTTATTTATTATTTTATGCAAAAACTGCATAATATACACACTTTACTACATGCAGCTTTTGTTGAAATTTTTCATTTAAACAGTACTAATTGGAAACGATCCTGGTTGATCACTATCAAAGCTTTTTAAACAGTTTTTTAAAAAATGTTTAAATTTTAATTTTTTGAGTAATTGTTCTGTATGAATGTCACCGATACAATTTCTTTTTCCAATTTTCTCGGTTTTTGAAAAACATTCGAAATTATCGTACATCAGTGCAAATGTTTAATTGAAGTAGGTAAGTATAAAATATTAAAAAAACCTTAGTAATTTTTACCTTTGAGTACGACTGATACGTATGAGTGATTTGATTAGACATCGTTATGCCACAATCATTTCTTTTATTGAGGAAATCAGCATCGAGCTGGATCTGGGGATATACAGCCGGCTGCCTGCTGCCTGGCCCTCACCTCGATCACTACTTCATGCGTCCATTCGGGGGTTTGTATGGACGACTTCAATTTCTTCCAATGGTTGCAAAGGCTCTTATTTACACACATACATATTTTATTTAGTGGAACGAGAATGAGTTGAATTTCATTCTCATTCTATTAATGTTAACCAAAAATCTTTAGAAAAGTCACCAAAATCTTATGCAAGCATAATTTGAGCACTATTCATATAACTCATTCTAACGATTATTTTCCATAATATCACTTCATCTAGTTTGTGCGCTTTATAGACTTACTTTGTGATGTTATGGGTAAATAAGTTGGCTTTTTCTCTTGATTTTCCGCCATCAATAATTAATACTTTTGCTTATAAATTATCAATTATTTATGTCTCGCTGCATTCGAAACATAAAAAGTAGTATATAATATACAAATTTTGACTTACAATAATTTCATCAAAAGTTATTATTAAAACACTCCCTTTTACTATAACTATTTCCTTAACAACACTTCTAGGAACATTATTCTAACAAACGGGACAAATTGTTTCAGGAGTTATGCAAGCAACCTTATGTGGTGGTGCAAAAATGGAGAAACGATACAGTCCTAGTTTTCGAGACGATTCAACTAGATCTAAGAGTGGCTCCAAACGCAAACGAGAGGATGTTGTAAAGTAAATATTTTTCAATTCTTTTTAATTATTATACGTAAGCCTGGCATAGCAGCAAACTTAACAATGTTTTTAACTCAATCAGATGATTACCTAATATTTTTACAATTTGGCGTTTGCGAGATAAAAGCATTGCAGTAAACGGCAAGCATGATTGATGTTTTAAATGTTTTGGATAGCTTCCCTTGCCAACTCGAGTTGCGCACCTATAAAAGACAAATCTTAACTCTACTTAATAGGTAAAGGATGCTTAAATTAGTACACCTACTCAAATTCCTATTTTAAGCTGAAATTATTTACTACATCCCGACTTGTTTATAAATTAGCTACTTTATTTTGGAGTTATCCCTGTGACAATGAATTTGGGTTTATCTCTGGCAGAGATTAGATTGTGTGAACCCGTTTTGTACGCTAAATTGAGGACCACTTTTGTTATTCAAAACAAGTCTCATAATTATCAAACAAGTAAATGAAATTTTAAATACCTTTCGGAATAATTGCATGATAGTCGTTGTACCAATTAAAAGCTCCTTCACTTTTATTGTGTTGAAAATTCGTTTTATTTCGCAGGAGGTCAGACAATATTTTCTCGTTAGATTTTGCAATTTCCACTTTTCATCTGACCTACGCTAAAAATTTCCCAAGTACCTGCATTGCATCTAGTGGGTTTTGCATTCATTTCAGACAAACTATGCAAAATGTAATAGTAAAACTTCGTGAATTCCACCTTTGAGTTTGAAACCTGTGAGAAAGCTGCGGTTTTTTTTATTTACTGTCGAGAAACTCTGGAACTCTTGTGATTGTTGAAGTAACATAAACACCAAGAAACCGCAATAAAATTTTGTACGGGCTTCGACATCCGCAGCAACCAAACCAGGTGCCAAATTCTTGATAAAATAGCTTCCTAGCTGAAACCAGATATTAAAAAAGGTTTTACATTGTTTATGCCTAATGCCCACTGCAAAAAATCGAACGAAATCAAAATAACCGTTTTATCGAAAAAATTGTACTGACATTTTTTCTTCGTTTTTTTCTAATAAAACGTATAGAATAATTAATAATAGCTTCTACAGGGTGGTTTAAATTCGAGACTCACCATTGGGATATCTGTAGCGGTGAGGGATGCAGTGTAGGTTAAATTGGGTCAAAGTTGCCCATTTTTGTGACTAGAAAAACGTATTTGAAATTTTTGAAAAATCTGAAATAGCTGACATCGAAAAACTGAAAATGTCAAAATTTGGTTTTAATTTTCTCTAGCTTCAACGGTCGAAAATGGGCGGTTCTCGTTAGGACCTTTTTCTCTAACATGCTAGATGTAGGAGCCACAGATAACAAGGTACTACTCAAAAGGACAAACAAACAAACAAAAATGATGTGTCACAGGTCTTACCTGCATTGCAATACATCGCAAAATACTACTAAGACAGCTTACTATGCATTTGTTCATAGTACAATATCATATGCGATCTTTGCTTGGAGACACCAAGTCCACACTGGCGGTGTATTTTTAAGCTGCAACGTAGAGATATTCGACTGGTAAGCAGAATGGGTTATAGAGAGGACTGCCAAAAGGAGTTTGTAAATCTTAAAATTCTAACTTTTCCAAGCATCTAAATTCTCTAGGCTGTTTGGTTTGTAAAATGTAACATTTCAAAAAATCATTATGCGGGTCACTCTGTAATTGGGCGCAAGTCTGTTGAGGGCCCAGGATAAGAGAGGGATAATAATAATAATACCTTTACATAAATTGACAAGAAAAATGTCAAAATCAAATGTGTTACATCCATTTCTCAACAAAACATTCACGGGTACCTAGATCCTGCTGAATCAACATATGACGGCGATGCATTGCAATGAATTTCTTTTTTTTCGTTTATCTCGTTCTGTAAAAATCCAATGTGGCGTCCATAAGAAATAAGAAAGTAGTAGCCTTATAGGCTTCTACATTTGCGTGTTATGTAAATTCTGATATATGCTCTGATAATCTGATAAAATCCGGCTCGTTATTTTTCGGTTCCGTATGCTCTAATATGCATATCCAATATTTGAATAAAATTGCCAACATACGCACATACATTGACGGAAAAAATGTTATTCATTAAAAGTTGCTTAAAATGATATAAAACGTCGCCATTTGATGGACATGTCCAAAAAACTGTGATCGCAATAACTACCTAGCTCAAGCTAGGAAGCTAAAAATGTAAAACTGCGCATGCGCTTTACATTGCTTATTGAGATACTTCAAAGAAAATCTTGGTAGTAACATGGCAATCTTTTAAAATTATTTTATATGCCATTAAGGATCGCTTTGTGCATATACATGGCTGAATATTTTTCCGTTACGGCAATATATTATTAACCAGCCGAAATGGGGTAACCGTATGCAATGAAAAAAATATCTATATTAGACTTCCAAATTTCAATTTCAGGCAATATTCACATTCCTGCAATAACATTTTGGTATTTTTGTATTCAATTAACCACAAATAAATTATCAAAAGCAATGTAGACTCCTAAAATGTAAATATAGAGGGTCCCGCAACAGTGCGTCGATTTTTCCTCTTACCTCCTAAAAAATATAAAAAAGAACTGTATATTTTTAGTTGTGTCGATGTCATTTGTTAACCTTTACATTGAAACCTATTTACTTTTTGATTTTTTATCAATGTTGCCATCCTATTAATTTTTTTCCGAATAATTCCACATAAGCAAGTTCACATTAATGAATCGTACCTATGTTATTTTTGAAGTTAAGAAATACGTAATAATGTTAATCCGAATAAAGGAAAACACGTTGACACTGAGAAAGGTGGATTTAATGATACAGGGTGTTCACAATAAAATGGTAAAATTTTCGAATTTCAAAGTACCATAACTATTTTTTTTTTCAAATGGAACTACTGAACTGTCTAAACCTCATAGTTTTTAGGTTATTCAATATTTTTCACAAAAGTACCTACCCATTAATTAATTAAACCGGAGTAGGCCATGATAATAAAAAAACAAAAGACAGCCCGAAAGTTAATAAGCGTCGCAAATTAATTATTTGGAGCAAGTGTTACTCCCTATTTCGTAGTAAAATAAGGTTAATCAAAAAGGTGAATTTCAAAAAAGGTGAACTTAATCTTATTTTACTATCGGCGTACTGTAGGGGCTCACAAATGACATCGAAACAGATAAAATATACAGTGTTCTATTTAAAAAAAAATCAGTTATTTATTTACACCGTAAAAATGGGACACCCTGTAAATTCAAAAATAATTTCTATATATGCCCAACGCTGTATCCATCTATAGTTGACATTTGCACAAAAAGGATTTTTTATATTCTTTACCAGGTATGGAGCTAGGAAAGACCAGATGTACCATTTAAATTCTGAAAGTGATAGAAAGTGTTATTTAAATTCATATAGAGAAAAGCCTAGTTTGGTTAACACAGCATTCGTTATAGTACTAAGAGGAATGAAATTTAGGTAGCTCGAATCTGACGTATTTGCTATGTGTTTCACAAAATATGAAGTGGCAAAACCGACAACTGAGTGTGATTCTCTTGCAACTGAGATATCTGGTGTGATGCTGAAAAACTGTGTACGCGTATGTAACTGACTGCCCATTTTCTAATTAAATTAATTTGAGTTTTAAGGGATGTTGCCAAGTATCAAAATATTAATAGTATCTTTTAAGCCCGAAGAACATGTTTGTTCAATATAAATTTGTGGTTCATTTAAAAGAACGCAGCTTTGTATGTGGTTTCAGTGATCATATTAGTTGTGTTTTGCATAACCAATGATTTATTCAAAAGCAAATTATTGGGTATGAGCGAGGCCTACGATACTTACAGGCCGGAGCGCTCTTAAAAGTCACGTGACGTTAGGAGTCATATGAAATACATTACGGCTTATGGAAAATCCGTGCGCGGCTTCACTATTTATTTTTTTACTCCGGATCCGTTCAACATAGAGCCACGAAATTTCAATGAGAGCTTGTCAATAGTACACACAATCAAATTATGGTGTTCGTTAATTTTTAATAACACTAAAAATAATTAATTTTTAGGTTTAAAGTATTGAAGATAAAACGATGTTAGTAAATCCGCGTTTTTCTATCTTTACATCATCATATTTCTTTTTCTAGGAACTATATCATTATAATCCTTTCGGTGTCTTAAACTAGAATGATATGCGCCTCCAATTATGCGTATATGATGCCTTATCTGATATTAGTATAGTTTTAACAGGCCCTACAAAATCGCGCATTTATTATCCGCGCAGAGAAAAATTCAACATGCGAGAAACTTTTTTGTTATTGCTATAATTGTATCACATATATCGAATGAATTGTGGCCAAAGGACACAAAAATGTTCTTCAGAAGGAATTTTTAAGAAATGGTCTCTTGTTTCCTTTTTTTTCAGCATCTGAAGTAAATAGCGCGATTTCAGAATAAGTGAACGCGCAAAGGAATTATTATGTTTCAAATAATTGTTAGTAATCGATTTTCAAATTGTGTTTGTGAGATTCAAGAGGAGTATTTTGCATCAAAGATTTTGTTTCGTCGTGTAATTTAGCAGAAGATGAGGCGATGTTAAATATAAGTATTGAAATATTCTAAGATTTAGAAAACGACACAACAGTTACTTCGGAAAACGAAAAAAAACGGCACTGCCTATTCCTTACAAGCTGTACTTTTTACTAAAACTGCTGTAAGTTGGATAGAAAATGCTATTTTTTAAAACTTCCTTATTCAAAAGGTTATTTTTATTTATTCATAGAATGAAGATGAAAGCCTACGATACTTACCAGGCCTCTTAGGCGGACAAGGCAAATTTCCCATTTCACTTTAACACGAGAAGGTATAACTAAAATACTTTATGTACTGCAAAATTCATATTAACGAAGATATAAGATATACTCCATACTTTTGACTGATAATATCTTTAATTTTATAGTTTAATGTAAATTTGAATCTCACAAACACAATTTGAAAATGGATTACTAACAATTATTTGAAACATAATAATTCCTTTGCGCGTTCACTTATTCTTGAAATCGCGCTATTTACTTCAGCTGCTGAAAAAAAGGAAACAAGAGACCATTTCTTAAAAATTCCTTCTGAAGAACATTTTTGTGTCCTTTGGCCACAATTCATTCGATATATGTGATACAATTATAGCAATAACAAAAAAGTTTCTCGCATGTTGAATTTTTCTCTGCGCGGATAATAAATGCGCGATTTTGTAGGGCCTGTTAAAACTATACTAATATCAGATTAGGCATCATATACGCATAATTGGAGGCGCATATCATTCTAGTTTAAGACACCGAAAGGATTATAATGATATAGTTCCTAGAAAAAGAAATATGATGATGTAAAGATAGAAAAACGCGGATTTACTAACATCGTTTTATCTTCAATACTTTAAACCTAAAAATTAATTATTTTTAGTGTTATTAAAAATTAACGAACACCATAATTTGATTGTGTGTACTATTGACAAGCTCTCATTGAAATTTCGTGGCTCTATGTTGAACGGATCCGGAGTAAAAAAATAAATAGTGGAGTCGCGCACGGATTTTCCATAAGCCGTAATGTATTTCATATGACTCCTAACGTCATGTGACTTTTTCGAGCGCTCCGGCCTGTAAGTATCGTAGGCCTCGGTATGAGTAAACATTTGCAATAATGCACATTGGTGCAGCATTTATTTACCAAAAATTATGTCCTAACTTCCTGTAATTTTTATTGTATATTTTTATTTCAAAGGATGTCTTCTGTCCTTCAAGTTCTAAAATTATCTCTTAGATATTCATCTCTAATATAGTTCGATTGAGCTGCCTTTTACATGTAATTGGTGCATGCATGTGCATCAGTGCAAGGGGATGTCTGCCAATTTTCAACCTATTTTTAGCTTCAACTTGCGTTCAAAATGAATAATGATTCAGATTGCATTGTGCCTTCTGGGATAGCAATATTGCATTCGTTGAGCGTCTAAATTTATTCTTCTGTTCAAAGATTACTTTGGCAATCATGTGCGTAGCTCTCAATAATGTCAAGTAGTTTCATTAAAGATTTCATAACCAATGAAAATTGTAATAGCAATAGTAGTATGAATGATGTACCTAACATAGTATTCAAACGTAGAATTTTTTTTTAGGATCAGAGTGCATCACAATGGTAACCCGACAGACGTAATGAAAAGTATCTCTCAATCTGACAATACGAATAAGCAATATTTTTTAATGCTAGAAAACATCACTTCACACTACATTCAGCCGTGCATATTAGACTTGAAAATGGGTACGAGGCAACATGGAGACGACGCGTCTGCTGAAAAAAGGTACAAACAAATCGCCAAGTGTCAGGCGAGCACATCTGCTTCCCTAGGAGTCAGACTGTGCGGCATGCAAGTTTATCAAGGAGATACAAATCGGTATTACAAAAAGGACAAATATTGGGGAAGGGAACTAAATGAAGATGGTTTTAAAAATGCCCTGTATAAGTTTTTCCATAACGGTTACGGGCTTAGAGTTAATGTGATTAGAAAAGTAATTACGAAATTAGAACAATTACGGCAGATAATCGAGCAACAAAGTAGCTATCGATATTACTCGTGGTATGTAGTTTTATCATCAGTTTTTGGGTATAACTATAAAGTGTACTATTTTTCCAGTTCGCTTTTAATTGTTTACGAAGGAAATGTAGCCATTCCTAGTACAACCACAGAAAGTTCTAGCAACCTAGTTCCTCATTTTTGTGATTTTACCCAAGAATCCGAAGACAATAGTCAGGAAGTGCCCTGCTGTTACGACGCAGATACGAGTAATTGTTCAATGGATTGCGGCCACGACGAAGTAAGCCAAGACATGCACCATCGCGGTTTCGGCGAAGCGGCTGCGCGTGGAGCGCAATCTAGCGATTTTTATCCTATATCTGAGGAGACAATGTTCTTAGATACACCGCCCAGTATTCCCCGTATTACAACATCAAGTCCGGTAGATAGCTGGATGATGTACTCGAATAGTAGTAGTGACGAATATTCCCTCTGTGGCCAACTCCATGGAGGAAGTTCGAATGAAGATACTTCGGATTTCGAACCGACATCTCCAAAAAAGAATAAACCTAAGCATAGTAGTTGTAAGCTTCTGCAGTATGCAGATTTAGAGTTAGAAGACGAAGATGACGAGGAAATAGCACCTTCCGTTTCACATAAAAATGTTCCGAAGCGACTGAGGGTGAAAGACACCTTAACTGTAGCTTCAAGCTCAAGATCTCGATCTCCTAGTATAACGCCAGTCGATGTTCGTATGATTGATTTCGCAAACACTACTTTTGCCGAAAAATCTTCTGCCTCATCATCATCCTCTACAGTTCACTATGGACCTGATGGAGGTTTCTTGACCGGATTGGATAGTTTGAAAAGATTACTTCTACAAATCGTATCGGAAGGTTAATACGATCACCCGACCTCCAAGGTGGTGCTTCCCCGCATGCCGCGGTGATTGCTATTGAAAAGAACCAATTGAATTTACATTTAAGTACCACAGATTCCAGCCTTAGGTTTACAAATTTGTGATTTTATTTCAATAAAGCCGATGTCTAGATGATGTGATCAGAATGATTTTTTGTATTGTATTTATTTACACGTCAATTTGTTTAACATGTTAAATATTCTTTTGTAACTTATTTTTAAAAAGTGCAAGGACGGAATATGATTAGCCAGATGTGTGGTATCATGCATTTTAAGTGTAACAGTGACGATTGTTAAATTTTATCCCTGTGATTTCTGTATATAGACTTTAAAGATGTGAGTGAATGTAATTTCTAGACATTCCAGTATTTTCGTGATGTGTGATTTTGTCTGTTATATCCAATTTTTGATCTACCTATCGCATTAATCTCAAAAGCAAAATTGTTTTTACTGCACATTTGCAATAATTACCCTTTTATAATATTCCCAAAGCGGGACCATTTTGGATTAACAGCGTTTATGGAATATGTTTAGGAATTATGAATGGATTTTTTTGTGTTGAGAATGTACTCTTGTTAAACAAAAAATATATAATTTAATAACAGTTTCTGTTTGTATAACCAAAGTGTACTGTCCATTCGACTCCACAGCTTAGAAATGAGGTAGGTAAACATTTAAACAAAATTAAAACAAAAGTTTTGTCTAAAAAAACTACAACTAAGTAATTTTGTCATGTAATGGCATGACATTACAAATCGAATTTTACTTTAAAATAGAAGAGGAGCGTAAGGTAAGTGACCCCAATTCAGACAGTGGCCATACTCCAGACATGTGCTATTCAAAATAAGAAAACTAAAAGGATAGAACAGCAATTAACTTTATTGAAGAGTGAATTTTATAGCAGAAACATATTTTTTCTTAAACTACTTTCGTCGCTAAAAAGGGTGAAGAAAATGTGATTTTACTTTCTAGTGAGGAAAGTAAACAATTGCTGCGTTAATCTTAATCATGACATTTAAAATTAAAACAGTCGTGTCACACTTCATTATTGTATACGATAATTTTTAAATTTTGATTGTTGTTTCAGAAAAAATGTGTAAAACTTGAGAAGAAAGTGTTTTTCAACTATGTATTACCGAGTGTAATACATGTTTCTGTATTAACGATACAGACGTATACAGTGATATTTATTAAGAAGTAGACATGGCGATTTATGTGTATTGTTTTCCTTACGTCTACTTTTAAAAGAAAAAATTCTTTTGAAGGGCGCTTCATTTTATGCACCCAACCATCCAACATAACTTTTTAAAACAAATAAACATCTGGCTGTATTAATTAGTTTGAATATTTTTGCTTTGGCTTAACAGAAAATAAATATCATACAGCACTATACCAATTGACAACTTTTTCTTCAGTTGCATACATCGCACATGAACGAAAATTAAAATACGGAAGCCATAGCAACAATATTCAAATTAATTAATGTAACAGCCAGATCTTCATTTTTTTAAGAAGTTATTTTGGTTGTATAAAATTAGGCACCCTTCAGAAGATATTTTGCCATTTGAAAGTAGACATAGGAAAAAACAATATGTACACATAAATCCCTATGTCTACTTCTTAATAAATAGCACTGTATAATATAAGGTGCTAACCGTGCCTTCAGAGGCGTACTGTGGATAAATACCGTGTATAGCAAACACCGACCCTGCGCCCCTCCCCGACCGTCATAGGTTCCTTACCCTTACGTTTTATTTTCTAAAATACGACTTTAAATTTGGGTAAAAAAGCACCCAAATTAAAACTACTTAACTTTATTTTTTTTACAAATTTATTTATTTTTTTGCTTTATCTGATGCAAATTACTTATCAAAGTCAAGTTGTTCAGCCCATTTCTCGTTCGCTCAGTAATGCAAAATCTAATAATAATAATTGACTTTGGCACAAAGATGCTCTCAAATATGAAAGTATCAATTTTAATTTGCTAAGTGATCCTTCGCAACTGGCAATAGAAACCGCTATTGTTAGTAATATTTGCAATGCTATACGCTTATTGGGAAAAACGTTTTCATCTCCATACTGAACTATTAAACTAGGCAGTTGTTTGGGGCTTTATATTTTTTCGGTGAGGGCTCTTGGAAGCAGCGTTCTAAAATCCAAAGTTTCTTCATATAATCATATTGCTGTATGCACTGGTCCGTAGGCCAGAAAGACCGTACACGAAACACCTAAACAAAATCCTAGCGAGCTCTTGACTTTTGTTATTTAACACGGGACAAGACAAGACAAGAATAATAATTAGCTACGAACTCGGCTTCCGGATACGCAAACGGAACTTCTATCTTCTAATTTAAAAAAAAAACGTAATATTGCCCTGACTCTTGGCGTAAAGCTGATTTAAATTTCAAAGAAACGTGGTTCTGCGTTTACTCAAGCAAAAAGCGACGATATTCCTGTGCAAATACTATCGCGAAACCCTTCTTTCGAAAATCAAAATTATAACAACCAATCATTACACAGTTGACAACAAAATCTGTCCCTGCTACGTACCACAAAAGACCGAAATAATAGAGGCCGAATAATTTTACTAAGCAAATTCTTATCAGACATTAATTAACTAAAATACGGAAAAATAAAAAATTCATTTCTTTTAAAATTACACAGAAAAGGCGATAAATCACATCCACCTGTCAATTAAATTAAGCATTTACAATTGATAACAGATAAAAGCAAACAAAATACCCGGAAATTTTACGTTAAATAAAAATAAAATGTAAACAAAAACAACCTTGACCGCTTTGTCATATGACAATATAATAATTTCCATGTCGCGTTACATACACAAACGACAAATAATGAAATTTAATTATGAAAGTTAATTACACAAGAAGGAGACCGCCCTTGTCTATCTTAATTAAAGTTTCCAAAATTTCATCCTGCCAGACGAAATACCACAGCAATATAATTCTTGCCCATCACAACTGTAAGATTCTCTAAACTTTTCATCCCGCTCTTTGAGTAGCTTGTTTCTGCTGTAAAACACAAACCCTTCCCTGTCATCAAGCAGATATCGTATACCTACTGTATCATTAATTAAAATAGCCGGCCCGCGTAACGCAATTCAGTTGAAGCTGGACTGCGGTACTGTAAGGGTCCCTGGTTCGAATCCCGGTTTGGGCATGGATATTTGTAAATGTATAGTGGGTTGGGTTGGGTTGGTAGAGCAAGCTTGGCTGAAACCACTGCCACTCAAATATAAAAAACCTCGTAAAAAAACTAAAATTAAAAAAAATGCTTTAAGCCGGCTGTGAGCAAGAGGCGAAGAATTTGTTTTTTCGATTTTAATAGCCCTTATGGACATTTCATGCCTTAACGAGAATAGAAACATGAAATGATTTTTAATTGCTGATCGAATGACACCAATACCAAGTCTGTAAGTGATGTAGTTTTCACTTAGATCTTGTCTTAAGATTTTTCACAATTACCTAACCTACATTTTACAACTTTCACGTTTCTTTCGCATGCGCATTGCACAGCCGTATAGATGGTTGAGCGCATGTAAGGAAGTTTACAACTCTGTGGGTGTTTAGGCTAGTTACGTTCACTGTCCTAAATAAAAAAGTCAGTGGTTACGTTGTGTGCCTGAAAGACTCTTATCGTTGAGTGAAGGACTAAAGACTACATAACCACTACCAAAAACGTTTTTACCATATATATACCGGTTGTTCGCCCGGAAGGTATACTACTTTGTTTTGCTGCTATTTTGGTAAACATTACTCTTGACAGTTCATACTCGTATTTGGCAGTTGTGCGAAGGTGAGACGTGGCAAATTTATTATGGAAAATTACAATGGAATTACTGCGAGACCTCTTTCCACAAGTTATTTCAAGAAATGGTGATGTTGATTGGCCTCCACCCACGGTCGCCTGATTCGACTGCTCCCGCTCCGGACTTCTTTTTGTGGGGATATCTGAAAAGTAAGGTTTATGAAAAAAAAACCAGACACGCTTGAGCAACTTAACAAAATATTCGTGATGAAATCATGAAATTAATGAAATACCGCGTGAAATGTGTGACAATGTAATGAAAAATGTGCTTAAAAGGACTTGCATTTGTGAGGCTAACAGAGGCGGACATTTATCTGATATTGTATTCCATACACAATTGTCGACATTAAATAAAACATTTATCAATATATTATCTATTCTCTTTCATTTAATCAAAAATTATAAACAAACAAAGTAGTATACCTTCCCGCAACGGACACCCTGTACTTATACTATGCGATCAAAAATGAGTTGCTGCCGAGTTACCTTTGGATTTTTTGTTTACATGGGAAATCGTCTTAGACCATATAGTACATGGACTGCTAATTGTAGCTAAAATATGGTCAAGGACATCGCCTGGGTATGTGAGTTTCAGGGTAAACGAGTCTCTCCGAAGTTGTACGATTAGAAACGATTTGACACTGTCAACCTATAAATTAACAAACGTCAATTGATTAATCGCCTAGATATCCCAAAAAGAGCAAACCTATCTGTATTTGTGGACGTGTAGAAGATAATCAAGGGTATTTAAAGCTTCCCGTACTACGTGGTGACTATAAAAGCTACTCTTTACGCGATCCGAGTGGTGTTTAAACGACTTTAGTTTACCCTGAGATTCACATACCCACGACTACAGTGCCCTCTATCCGTGACCACCCATTTTGTATTGAAAGCATAGGGCGAATAGCAGTCCATGTACTATATGGTCTAAGGAAATCGTACTTAACTTCCAAAGGCTACTCGCAGCAACCTTAGACCAAGGCAGCAACTCATTTTTGATCGCCCGTTATTTATATGGTTTTTACTGTTTTGTGGTGACATTTAAATATTGCTAACCTCAAAACTGTATGCTGTATTCATTTCTCGTAGACGGTAAGGCTGTGTTTCCTTCTCTAAGCTGTAAGGTAACTGCTATAAATCAGTACTCATACTCGGTAGTCAGTAGTGCCATTGAATAATATAATATTGCGATTGAATAATATTATCAAACGAATTTGGGAGAATTCGAAGGAACCCATTCGGCCGAATTCGTTCGCTATATGAATACGGGCATTGAATAATAAAATTCAATGATACGGATCTTTCTACTAAATAACAAACTTTTGTATCTTCTCACACGCTGGGTGGATATTTTAAAGTGTAACACGTGGGTATCGTAATTCAAAGACTGTTGAGGTGAATGACTACTTTATTTACATGCGGTCGCCATGACACGCTATTGCCAACTTAAGAAATAGCACTAGCGCATACACCACACTCCTTCCCCCCGGATTGAAACTACGGCACGAAATCTTCCAAGTATTTTGGAGCCCGCCTCGATCTTTCTGGTGGCTTCTTGATCTCCACGATTTGGCTATCCCCGTTGTCCTGCTGCTGCGGTTCGCTGCAGTTGGCAACTTCTGGTGTTGTCGGTGGAATTTCGGGATCACCCAGTGTTCCCAAACTTTCGGTCGGTTCTTCTACCCGAGCCCTAATTTGGTCGGAATGGCGGCGTAATGTTTGCCCATCTGGTGTTTGTACACGGTAACTTACGGGTCCCGTAGTACTCACGACTTGTGCTGGCAGCCATTTTGATCCTGGTGTGAATGACCTTGCGAAAACTGCATCTCCATCTTGGAACACTCGATCTTTCCCTGGGATTGGATATTCGTCTTTTTGTTTGGCCATCATTTCCTTACGGAAATCAGGCTGCATGCGATCATAGACGGTGTTTAGCTTACGACCCATCAAGATCTCCGCCGGTGATCGGCCTGTTGTGCAGTGTGGTGTAATGTGTTGGGCTAATAAGTATCTGCTTAAAGCCAACTGTAGATTTCCTTCTGCTGTTCCCTCGGTCATTTTCCGGATAGCGTTTTTTACATTTTGCACCATTCTTTCTGCTTGACCATTACTGCTCGGATGGTATGGTGCCACTAAAGCTTGTCGAATCATGTTGTTTTTCAGGAACTGCTTAAATTCGGAAGAGCTGAAACTCGTTCCATTGTCGGATACGACAACATCCGGTATGCCGTGGGTGGCGAACAATTCTCGTAGCACCCCGATTGTAACAGCACTCGAGGTATTTGGCACTAGTTTTACCTCGAGCCATTTGGAATAGGCGTCGGTCACTACCAGAAAAGTTTTCCTTTCATTGGTCCGGCGTGATCAATGTGGATACGCGACCACGGAGCTCTAGCCCACTCCCAAGGATGAATAGACGACTTCCTCGGCATGTTTCTTGGCATTCTCTACACAACCCAACCAGCTTCTCAATTTGTTTGTCGATATTCGGCCACCATACGTACGAACGCGCGAGAGGTTTCATCTTGACGATACCTGGGTGAGCCGAATGGAGCATTTTTAGCACAGTGTCCCTCACCCCTAGTGGAACGATAACCCTGGTGCCCCACAGGAGACAATCTTGGTAGCAATTTAGCTCATGTTTGCGTTGTAAGGAGTAAATTCATCTGGCAAATTTTTCCCGTTGTCAGGCCATCCCTTCCAGATCCACTGCATAACCCTTGATAAAACAGGATCTCGTTTGGTTTCCTGGGCAATTTCTCTGGCGCTGATTAGCTTTTCTGGAATGTTTTCCAGCATTAAGACGTCTTCAGATGGCGGAGGTTCTGGAACCTTGATTTTTTGGGGCAGTCTGCTTAATGCGTCAGCATTCTGGATCTTAGCTCCTGGCACGTACCTTAGTTCGTAGTCGTACGCAGATAGCATTAGTGTCCATCTTAGCATCCTAGGTGATAGAATGTCTGGAACCCCCTTCTTCGGATTGAAGACTCCCAATAAAGGTTTATGGTCCGTTGTTATTGTCACCCCTCGGCCGTAGATGTATTCGTGAAACTTTTTAACACCCGTGATGATAGCGAGTGCCTCCTTGTCGATTTGAGCGTATTTCCTCTCAGCTGACGACAAAGAACGGCTGTGATACGCCACTGGAACGTCTCGCCCCCGGTCGTCCAACTGACTAAAGCGAACGTAAGCGTAATCAGAACCATAATCATAAAGTTCAAATACCTGAAATATATGTCCTTTGCTACATGGAGTTACGCTTATGATTACGGTTATTGGGTGACCTTCATCACACATAACTCGTAAAATTGAGTTCAAATTTTTCAACTTTGTGTTTCTGATTATGTAAAAAAGCTTATAGCGCATGCTCGCATTCGTCAGCTGATTGTTTATAACCTAAATCTATTTCATGTTTTCAATTTCAAGGTGCCACTTTTACTCAAAATAAACCGCTATTTAGTCTAAATAATTTGCTTATTGCTTGTTTAGTGTATAATAAAAAAGAGTATGTCTGCGTCTGCCCTTGAGATAATAGATGTGGAATTTAAGGGTCGCACCCACCATCGTCTTTTCTTAACTCCATTACCCAGAGTTGTTTTATTTCGATTACGAGTGTACAATAGCAATGTTAAGCAAAACGCATAATCATTTTTAGCCATTTCTTGTTTGCCGCGTATTTCAGGAAAATTTCAAAATTAAGGTTATAGATTACCTTCGATGTGAACACACACAAATTTTACGAATTGTGGTTACGTTTATGATTTCGTTTACGTTTGATGTGCAACCGCCTTAAGAATGCAACCTACCCCATACGGACTCGCGTCGCAAGTCAAAAATAAGTTTCTCCGGTCATTGTAGTGAGCCAGCACGGGCTCCCTGATTAAGCAATCCTTTAAAGCTTGGAAAGCCTCTCGTTCTGACGTTCGCCATTGCCATTGAGCGTTCTTTTGAAGTAACGCATGTAAAGGTTTAGCGATGGTCGCTTTGTCCTTCATGAACACGTGATAAAAATTGACCAACCCCAAAAATGCTTGTAATTCTGTCACATTAGTTGGAGGAGGCGCGTTTACTATTGCCGCGATTTTATCTTTCGTTGGGCGAATACCGTCTTCGCTTATTCTAAACCCGAGGAATTCAATGGATTTTGTACGAAAAATACATTTTTCCCGGCGCAATTGTAGCCCGTCTTCACGAAATTTCGACAGTACCGTGCGCACTTTAGTGTCTAAATCGTCATCGGAACTTCCCACGACTAGTATGTCGTCGTAGTACGGTAACACTCCCGAGATACCCGCCAGTCTCATGTCCATGAATTTTTGGAATATCTGAGGCGCGACGGAAATTCCGAATTGCAAACGATTGCATTTAAAAGCCCCCTTATGCGTTATTATTGTCTGTGCTTCCGCAGCCTCGCGATCGACACTCAACTCAACTGTAGGTAAGCCTGGGCTAAATCCAATTTAGCGAACACTTTCCCGCCAGCGAGCGCGGATAAAATTCCTTGTACCGACGGCACCGCGTACGGTTCAGGACGTAATGCGCGGTTAAGTGTGGACCGGGTCCGGGTGGTCCGGAGTACAAAGGAAAGGCAAAAAACTTTGACCCAAGCAAAATTGGACGAAAGAGAGCACCAGTACAACCAATTCAGGTTCCCATTCCTGAACCAATACATTTTGGAAACCCCCAAACACCGCCGCAAAGAAATGATTCAGTCATTTCAGAAGAGATATTCGGACAGGGTTGTTCAGTGACAGAGATAACTCCAAAGGAATCCTTGGTGGCTAACTACGCGAAGATAATTGATTTGGCGGTTGAAACTTATAACGGATATCGAGCGGATGAGAGACAACTCGACAGCGTTATTGTTCGCGAGGAAATAGTTTACTATGCGTAGCTTTGCTGTATTTAAAACTTATCAATGTTAAAGTCAAACAAGGAGATATCTTGACAAACCAAGAGAAGGACATGCACGAAGCCACAGCGGACGAACAATTCAATGTTCCGCAACCATTATATGTGTACCTGAGCGAGATCGGTAGTCGGTACGTATATAGACAACTGGGGGAGAGAAACGAGATTGGAAATTCCTTCACTCCCTATCACTGTAGTGCAAGGTATGGGTGGATACCACGCGAACGCAGTCAATTTGAACACGCACAACTTGTTCGAAGAAGTACCGTCCCTAGGAATAGCCGGAGATATGCCCATGGCGCTGGCATCTGAAGATGCTGAACCAGTGCCAAACTTCCATATTGGAAAACCCGCAGGAACGGAATTTACAACAAATTTAATCGGAAATTTCAGCCCAATCGGCCAGCGAAGCCCCATAATAGAACAGAGGTTAGCGGCGTATGGAATTACGGTAGATTCATTTGACGAGTATATTCCAAATACTCGTTTTAACTTACGTTATATCAGGCTGTTGTCTCATATCGGAAAGCGTAGGAACATACAGCGTCCAAACAATATTTAAGAATCTGGGTCTTTCAAGAGGAGAAACGCAGGTTATTGAACCACGACCAATGTATAAGCATGAGAGAACTGGCGGAGCAGAACCGTACAAGGTACGTCTGCGTCAACTAGCTCAAGGGCAATCATGGGAGCCGCGATATGCTTCGGTTTCCAACTCTGGAAAGAAGATGGACCTGGAGAAGACCGAGCAGCGAAAACGAGCAACTGGAGTTGTATCAGAGGTAATGGAGAAGCTCCATTATGGAACATGCCAGACGACTGGTACAATAACAGAAACGTGCGCCGAAACCTACCCGAAGGAGAGAGAACCCAGAGATTCATTGGAAACTCACCAAGACAGGACGTGGTTTTATCCAACGTAGTGAAACGCATGATCAAAATCCCGCGGTAATAACATCGCATATAGCCAAGAGTAGGAGCCGAGTGTGCAATTGTACAGTTAAGATACTCATTATTCATTACCATAGAGTAAATTTTTACTCTTCTTATTCAGTGTGTCTGTCTCTTCAAAGAGAATTTAATATGCTATTTTTAGATTAAAATATCCAGAGTGTGCCATTTAAAAAAATGAGATTAGATCCAATAAATTTTTACCCCATGATACTGTATATTTATTTTGAAAACGACAGATTATTCATCAATAAATTTCAAGAAACATTTTTTTGTTTCTGTTTTTACTAAGAATATATAGGGCCATTCTGAAATTGAAAATTGTTTGATTTATCTCCGTTGTAACGGAATATTTATTCATTGAATACATGGAATATTTTTTGACATTTTGTGCAGGTTACCGATGCAAAGAAAAACACTTTAATAACTGAATGATGATCATATAGCGGGCATCCTCAGAACTATAGCAGCTTGGGCCTTGGGCAGCATTCAGCAAAGGCAAGGGTATTACACCGTATCAAAAATGCTCAAATTTTGATTTTATCATTTTAAGTTTGACCCAAAAAGAGATCATAACGCCTATAAAAGTGTCGAAAATGAGACACTCTGTACATGAAAGACTATGTAAAATTCCAAAATGAAATTAAAAATGTGTTAAAAAAAAGTTGTTGGTTGTAACTTATTTTTTGGTCAACTTTGTATACATTGTAAAGATCACCTACCCCATTAATCATCTTCCAAGAAGGTAAGCATCGAGAACTGAGTCTATAACCTTATAACTATTTACTATAAGTTATTTCTGTTTTTAAAAAATGGTTTTATTTTCACAAGAGTTTTGCGATTTTTGTATTCTAAACATTTTTGCCAAATTTCGTTGAAATAACAAAGTTTAATAAGTTTTTCATTGAAAAATACAAAATTTCTCCGTCATCTTCGATTTTGACTGAATTCCCGGGGCGGGATTAATGGGGATTTTGAATATGTGTTAAAATAATATAATTTACAATAAAATCATTGAATTTATAAGTATCAATTCAATGATAAAATGACTCTAGGTACTTCGTCTTTATAAAAATTTAAAATCAAACATGTTTACAACAGGAATTTATGGCAAGTGAATAACATAACATATTTCCTCTATTGATGGAAGAAATTGTTGATGTAAAACTAGCTTTAGATCTGTGCTGAACGCTGAACTTTGCTTGCAATCTCGTATACTGGACCATACTGTATATTATAACAATCCCAAAGTTCATAGATAAAACGCGAGATAGTAATCTGCAAAAACTGCAATTATCGCCAGAAGCTTACGTAAGATGTCGGTGCCGCCGCACAAACAAATAGAAATGGTTGAATATAAATAGGTTGTGGTTTTGATGTGTGAGTGTGTGTGAAACTTCTGTTTTTTAATTTTATTTTATTTTCAAACAATTTATTTATTATTTAAAAATGAGTGAGTGGCGATCGGTTACCGACAATAGATGTTATGGAATAGGTACGAAAGCGTTACGCTTTTTTAGGCGCCTAAAGGTGACCAACTTCCCTTTAAATTATCATATTTACCAACAACTTTTGAGCATTTAAATTCGCGTATTTGTGAATCCGAAATTAAGATAAGTTTATTTAGAATATATGTAAGGGCCCCTCCCACATAATAGATAGAAAAATTATGATTTCCTGAACTTCCTCAAGGAAAGAAGTGAATCACAATTTTCCACATAGTTAACTCCGCTACTGTATGTGATCATAATAGTGATTACTGACTCATTATTAAAAATTGCGACTTTATGTAATAAATTAAAACATACACGGGAGCCTAATTATAGAGGCAATTATTTTTTTTATGTAGCCTGAAAAACTCACAAGCACAATACGTTTCGAATTTTACTCAGATTTATGGAATTACTTAAAATGTGTGCAATTCCACATAAAACCACAACTGATTATAACCATAACAGTCCACATTTTCCGTGGTCTGCAAAAAAATTCGAAACTCGGGCTATCTCATTTTAGAAGAATTTTAGATATCAAACCGTGCCCTACTGCTGGTGTTATCACAACATGCATAAGGAAGTAATTGAAGCATCCTTATTATTAGCAATAATTTAAAATGACACCCATAAATAACTCTGAAATTCTATTATCGACTGTCAGTTGATCATTAGGTCGAAAAATTAAATAAAAAGGTCAAACAAATAAAAATAGATTCTTTATTAATTCGTCATTGTCTAATTGCAGCAATCTATAATATCATCTCAAATGATGATTGTAAACTCAATCTCACTGTTGGTGAAACCGTTCACATACTCGAAGAGGAGGAGAATTGGTATTATGGGTACTCTACATCGGACCGTAGGGTACAAGGCATCTTTCCCAAATCGTATATACATATCACAGAATGCACGATCGACAGGAGCGGTCCTAATCTCGTTTTTATACCACAACAACCTTTAATTGTTCACGAAATCACGACGATTTTAAGAGAATGGGGTGCACATTGGAAGGATTTATACGTTGTAAGATTGGTCATTTGTGATTTCGTTTATATAACAACATTTGTAGATGCATAGTAGAGAGTTTGAACGGATGAAGAATCAAATTTACGATTTAATTAAGCATAGAAGTAAAATAATTAGTGGCACACTACCGGTTGATGAACTGAAACGTATGACGAAACAGATCACTTCGGAAATAGATATGGGCAACAAACTGTTGGGACTCGATATGATTGTACGAGATAAAGACGGTAACTTAATTGATCCTGAGAAAACTAGTACAATACAATTGTATTATCATCACAAGAATGCGGCAGAACGTATTAGGGACAAAAGGAATAAAGTGGTAAGTAATTTCAATTCTTTTTAGTTAGTGTTCGCCTTATTTGCATCAAATTTGTAGAGTGAACACAGGGACAGTCCGGCACGGACCGCTCTTCAACAGTATTCACACATTTTTGTTGTGGCGGTCAAGAACTTTACTTGTAAAATGACAGAGGATGCAGAATTACTTATGACGTTATACGATGCAAAGGAGAATAAGGCAATTACGGAAAATTATGTCGTTCGATGGTCCAAGGATGGGCTTATGAGTGATTTAGATCAGATGTACACTCTTAGAGTTATGTTTACGGTAGGTATTTAATAATAATAATAATAATATTTATTGGTGGGGTTTATTTGATGTAATAGCTACAAGATCTCTTTAGTGTATGCAAGTAGGTATTTGGTTGATTTGTCTGTTTACACAATACAGGGTGTCCCAGAACTGATTTAATTTAAGGTGACTTCTCACGAATCGAGTATAGTTGATCAACAAAAATTAATTACAACTGGATCAACTATAAAGGGTACGTTCCACTTAACGCCCGTAACGATCACGACCGCGACCGCGGTTTTGTCGTTCCACTAGCTTAGAGGCGTTGTGGGCGAAACCTTAAGTGGAACGCTTTTGAGTACGGTCGCGTGACGTCACGCGTGAGTGAACAGTTTTCCAACATGGATGCCGTTGAGGAGATCGCAATGCGTAAAGGATACAAAGTGGGGTGGATTATGAATTCAGAAGTCACATTAAGTTAGTAAATATTTTTTTATTTTCCAGTACCAATTATTGACACATACTTCTTCGCTTTACACAAGATATCGCTTCTTGTTAATAAAATATTGAAGACGACTTTTGAATTTCTATCATGAATGCTGCGGCCATACTTAATACGATTATAATGAACACTTCTCCCCAGGATTTCTTGTGGGAATGCTGCTTCGAAAACAATTTCTCTTCTTCATTCAAAACTAACGTACATTCTCATTTTCATCAATCGTTGCATTACCATTTATAATCTATCATAATCATCCTTGATCTACAATAAAGAAAATTGTGTTAAAGCAGAATTTTCCTTAACAAATAACTTTAACATTCACGAATCAGCATATATACTTACCAGTTTGTGCATGTAGAACATCCATAATGACCATAATGTAATGTCCACCACAAGGTTACGTTCTGAAACACGTAATTATATTTTCTCCATAGCGAAAACGAAAAATTTGTAACGCATGCGTGTTCAAACAATCAGTGTCTGACAGTTAAATGTCTCTAGAAATGTCTCCTGTCAAGAATGTAAGGTTATAAAATTAGAACGCCCATGCTGACCCAGGTACGATAGGCGAGCGCCGTGGGCTCGTTGCGGTCGCTAGTAATGACGTCATATCTGACGTCGCGATTGCGTAACGACTGTGGTCGTTATGTGGAACGGCAGCCGGGCGTTGTGGTCGTTGCGGGCGTTAAGTGGAACGTACCCAAAGTTGATCAAATGTATTGAAACAAAAGTTCATTTGACCTTTGTTAATCAACCGCTTTTTAAATAGTTGCATACTTTCCGAATTTACATTTTAACAATTCAAAATTGTTATTTTTTAATTACAAGTGTTCTTGTTCGCACATGCATGTTTTTATTGATTGACAGTTGATTCGAATTTCAATCATTGTTTGTTGTAAAACAAGGGCGTGCTGTTTAAATTTTAGAAAAATTGGTCAACAAATAAAATTAATTTTCTAGACGTCTGACCACAGAATAACATGAGTTATGTACCTAGGTATTTGATAATATTAATTGTCGTTAATGGGTTTATTGTTTTCCAATTTTCACACAAAAAAATGTTCTCACATAACAGCTTTCAATACAGTTCAGCTACCTACCTGCTTCTGAGAATTTTTTAATTGTCGTTTAACAAAAATTTTGATGAGGAGTTTGTACAGTGAAACACCTGGCAATTTTTTGATAGGTATGGAAATTTTGTGACCTTTAAAAATTTAATAAGTATGCAAAATTCACAAAAAACTAATTACTTAATGAATATTTTCCCAAATTTTGTCTCAAATTGGATTCTGCCCACTTTAACTATTAAGTGGTTTTGAGCGGAATGCTGCTCTATTGATTTTTTTTTAAATTGGACTATTGTCCCCTGCTCTTTTGGTTCTTTTAAATGCGACCATTGTCCTCTGCTATTTTTTTTAAATGAAAATATCTTTATATTTACATTAAAACTATACCTACTCAAGTATTTATACAAAAGATCTACCTTTTGGGTTTTTTTTTTGGGACCATTGTCTCCTTATCTTTTGGTATTTTTCACATGGCACCATTGTCCCCTGCTCTTGGGGCTTTTTAAAATGAGACCATTGTTCCCTGCTGTTTTGTTTTTTTAAATGGGTCCCTTGTTCCCTGCTCTTTTGGGTTTTGTTTATTCCCCACGGAATACTACTCTTATTTTTTTAATTTGTTTTATTTTATTTTATTATCCCTCTCTTGTTTTGGGCCCTCAACAGGCATGCGCCCAATTACAGAGTGACCCGCATAATGCTATTTAGAGGTGCCTCTGCACTCTGCAGAAGGTCTTAAGATGGTCTATACTACTCCGGTATTTACCTTACGAATTAGGAAAACTGCAGGAAAACCTAATTCGGAGTAGCCGGTAGAATGCTCGGAACTGCTCTAAGGTAATTTCCATCTCCGCCACAGATGAAAAATTCACCTCAAACCAGGTTCGAACACCCGACCTCCGGATTTATAACCCAATGCTCTTACCACTGAGCCATAAATCCGACTTGGTTTTATTTTACAGTTTTTGGGCTCTCTGATTATTTTAAATTTCATTGTACACTACTCTCTTGGTATTTTCGTGCGTCCTCGCGCCGATTTCCTATATTAATTTTTTTTAGCAGACCCCCTCTTTATTTTATTTTTACTTTTTTTTGAAATGGGACTATTGTTCACTGCTTTTTTTAAATAGGACCATTGCCCCTGATATTTTGTTTTTTTTTGTGAAAGGGGGCCATTGCCCCCTTCCCTTTGGTTTTTTGTGAAATGGAACCATTGACCAATGGGACTATTGTCTCTTGCTCGTTAGGTTTTTTCCTGCGTCTTCGCGACGATTTACTGAATTAATTATAAATTGCAAAACGGCGAAACAGGTTTCTATATTCAATTTTTAACCTTTTGTTTTTCATTCCCTTCAGGACCTTGCTCTTTTTGTGTTTATTTTATTTTATGGGACTCTATCCTCCCCTTTTGGTTTTTTAAAAAATGTGATTATTGTTTCCTTCCTTTTTTTTGAAATGGTACTATTGTACCATTTGTTTTTTTTAATGAGACCATTGTCCCCTGCTCCTTGGGTTTTTTTGGGAAATGGGTGCATTGTCCTCTGCTTTTATTGTTCATTTTTTAAAATGGAACCATTGTCCCCTGCTCTTTGGTTTTTTGAAATGGGATCATTGTCCCCCACTCTTATTTTAAATGGGACCATTGTCCCTTGCTTTATTATTGTTTTTTTAAAAATTGGATTGGGATTGTCTCATCATCAATGAATGCTGCTCTTTTGGTTTTTTAAAATTTTTTTGCTCAACGGTACTTACAATTTTTCGCGTAATTTTTCATTAGCATTCTTTTCTTTATTTTTTATTTTTAAATTTTTTTTTAAATTTATTTTTTTGTTTCAAATTCCTCTCGGGATCGTGCTCTTTTTTTAAACTTTGTTTTTACTTTTTTTGAAATGGGGTTATTGCGAGGGTTATTGTCCTCTGTTTTTTTTTAAATTTGTAGCCTGCGCCTTTTGCTGGTTGTGTTAATGGGATCATTTAATCCCTTGCTATCTTGCTTTTTTTGTGAAATGGAACCATTGACCTTGCTCTTTTGGTTTTTTAAATGCGACCATTCTGCCTTGCCCTTCTGGGTTTTTTTACGGCTTTTTTAAATGGGACTATTGTCTCTTGCTCGTTAGGTTTTTCCCTGCGTCTTCGCGCCGATTGCAAAACGGCGAAACAGGTTTCTATATTCAATTTTTAACCTTTTTTTTTCATTCCCTTCAGGACCTTGCTCTTTTTGTGTTTATTTTATTTTATGAGACTCTATCCTCCCCTTTTGGTTTTTTTTAAAAAAATGTAATTATTGTTTCCTTCCTTGTTTTTTTTTGAAATGGTACTATTGTACCATTTGTTTTTTTTTAATGAGACCCCTGCTCCTTGGGTTTTTTTGGTGAAATGGGTGCATTGTCCTCTGCTTTTATTGTTCATTTTTTAAAATAGGACCATTGTCCCCTGCTCTTTGGTTTTTTGAAATGGGATCATTGTCCCCCACTCTTATTTGAAATGGGAGCATTGTATCCTGCTCTTTTGGTTTTTTTTAAGTGGAGTCTTTTGCTCTTCTGTTTTTTTTTGGGTAATGGGCCCATGTCCCTTGCTTGATTATTGTTTTTTTTAAAAATTGGATTGGGATTGTCTCATCAGCAATGAATGCTGCTCTTTTGGTTTTTTAAAATTTTTTTGGTCAACGGTACTTCCAATTTTTCGCGTAATTTTTTATTAGCATTCTGTTTATTTTTTATTTTTAAATTTTTAAAAAAATGTATTTTTTTGTTTCACATTCCTCTCGGGATCGTGCTCTTTTTTTAAACTTTGTTTTTACTTTTTTTGAAATGGGGTTATTGTCCTCTGTTTTTTTTTTAATTTGTAGCCTGCGCCTTTTGCTGGTTGTGGGATCATTTGGTTCCTTGCTATCTTGCTTTTTTTGTGAAGTGGGACCCATTGACCCCTGCTCTTTTGTTTTTGTTTAAATGGGACTATTGACTCTTCATCTTTTGGTTTTTTAAAAACCGGACCATTGTACTCTGCTCTTGTGTTTTTTTTTTTTGTAAAATGGGCCCATTGTCTTGCTCTTTTGGGTTTTTTGGTTTCTCACGGAATGCTGCTCTTGTTTTTTTTTATTTTAGTTTATTTTATTTTCCTGCTTTTTTTAATTTTACCATTGTCCCCTGATCTTTTGGGTTGTTTTTATCCTCCACAGAATGCTACTCTTGTTTTTTTTTAAATTTTAGTTTATTTTATTTTGCATTTTTGTTTTTGCATCCTCATACCAGGTATTCAATATGCCATGAGGAACTGCTGTACTTCGTAGTGTCTGTTTGGGTAAAACGTGCCTTTCGCTCACAAATACTCCGTTTCAAAAGTTGTATGGCTTGCAAACTTGGATATACACTAGTGGTAGTGATCCTACCAACAATATAAATTGTGCACAACTCTTGTGCAGATAAAGCGCATTTGTTAAAACCGAAATAGCTTAGCAAATAATTGGGTTATAAGATAGTAGCCTCGGTAGTAGCATAGAATATTTATTTATGGTAATTGATAAGCTTCTTGGTAGATAATTAATGGGGAAACATTTAAAAATCGCCTGGCATGCATTCAAAATCTACGCTATATAATGCAAGAAGAATAAACATCAACAAATTCTCCAAAATATTCTATTTTCTCTGCCTTCCTCCTTCCCTTTAATCACGAAAATGAATCACGCAGGTAAGTTATAGTTCGTTGTTTTTGCATTCGGTAGCTAATAGCTCTGGCCCCTCAAGCAAGAAAATCTTGACGATTAATGAATGTGCACATGCGCAATGTCAACGTTCTTATTTATAGAGATATTTTTTTGAAATTTTAACCACAGATACTTCTAGTAATGACAAGCATATCGCATATTGTAAAAATCAGATGTGCGCATGCGCAGACTGCGGAATGTTAAATTTTTTATTGATAGAGATATTTTTCTGAAATTTTAACAAAAAATTCTTCTAGTAAAGGCAAACATCGCTTATTTTAATATCAGGTGTGCGCATGCGCAGGCTGTGCAATGCGAGTAAAGCTCGCGTTAAGGTGAAAACCTTTTTTTTTAAAATTTTTTTTATACGTACGCACTGAAATCCATCAGTACTGATAGGACTCTGTAAAACTACTAAACTGGTTTTGTTTAAATTATACACAGCAGGTTTCTTAGGGAGGATAGTGTGAAACAGAGAAACGTACCATTTCACCTCTTTCGAAACAATTTATAGCTTCGTGAATTAAATACACTGTAGCACTTCTATTACTTATTTTTAACTAGAACAAGTGAGATTTTACATTCAAACTTAAAACACGTTTCAAATAACTGTTGTCGGTCACTTTTTTAATTGAGTACATCCCTAACAGGATTTAGGAAAACGTGATTTGGAAAGGGAAAAAATATACCTCGTATGCTATGTGATACGAGTGGGTTCAATGGAAAACAAAGAAATCGACCATCGGCGAAGTTCCATGTCGACAAATTATAATAAAAAAAATTGCAAATTGGAAGTGAGGAAACCGTTTGGCGTCGCTGCTAAGGATATTACACCAATCATGTCCGGTAAATTAGAGACTGATTTAGAGCAGGAGTTTGTTGTTCCCTTCTACAGGTATTGATCGTGTGTAAATTTGGCATGCTTTAATCGGTTTATTCTATTTCAGTTGTGATAAAGATAATTTAGATCAAACACTTCGTAAATTTATAAATAAGGACACGAATAAAAATGAGGGCAAAAATCAGGCGTTATTTGTTAGCATGAAATTGTTGCACGGTGATCTTAAACAGGTAACAGATTTAAGTGAGAGTTCGTCTTACAAGGACTTTTCAGGTAAGGGAGGAAAATCCTCACCTAATACTGGGTAATATTTCTATTGCAAGAAAAATGGGGTTTCCCGAAGTAATCTTACCCGGCGATGTTAGGAATGATCTTTACCTAACGTTAGTTTGTGGCGAATTTAATAAAGGCAACAAAACTAGCGAGAAGAATGTTGAAGTGGTTGTTAAAGTGTGTAACGAAAAAGGTGTTGCTATACCAGTAAGTGTCCCCTTTTAAAAGTTGTTTGTTACCTGTATTGTTTCAGGGTGTGATCTCACTAGGCGGGGGTGCTCCTCCCTTAAATGAGTATCGATCTGCAATGTACTATCACGAATACAAACCCCATTGGTGCGAAACCTTTAAAGTTGCGATACCAATTGAGGAATTTAGAAGTAGTCATCTGAAGTTCACATTTAAACATCGCTCCACCAACGAAGCCAAAGATAAAAGTGAGAAACCGTTCGCGATGTCCTACGTTCGGTTAATGCAGGAAAATGGAACAACACTCAAAGATGCGAAACATAACTTAATTGTGTACAAAATTGACCATAAGAAATTTGACGACTCTGGTTTGGATTACTTTAAGCTTCCGTCAACAGTGGATGAAATAAAGGACAGTAGCAGGCCGCAAACGAACGGGCTATCTCTCAGTACAAAAGACAGCTTTACCATATCTACTAACATTTGCTCAACAAAACTTACACAGAACAGTATGTCGATTACGATTAGCTTAATAATGAAACTTTTTTTATTACAGTTGACTTACTGGGTCTGTTAAATTGGGCCTCGCACAAGGAGACATTACGGGAGTCTCTCGTTGCGTTAATGAAGGTAGATGGTGAGGAAGTAGTGAAATTTTTGCAAGACATATTAGATGCCTTGTTTAATATTTTAATGGACAATCCCGAATCTGATATTTACGACGAAATGGTTTTCGATTGTTTGTTACATATTATCAGTCTAGTCAGTAGCGATTGGAAATATCAACATTTTGAACCAGTTTTAGATTTGTATATTAAAGAAAGTTTTAGTGCGACACTCGCATATAGGTAAGAGTGTTTTCGTGCAATTTTTTTCTTAATTTTTATTTAATTGAACCAAACAAAATCGTGCGAGTTTATCAATAACCAGGCGTAAGGTCAATGTGCACAGACTAGTTAATTAGAATACTAGAGAATGAGAGCTAATAAGACGCTTAGCCTGTTAGCACAGATTTAAACACTCCAGAATCTCCAGATATGTCATGCTTGGTTAATGACGACGGCATACAATTCATGAGAACCAATAGAGGTCGCCACTGACAAATGTCAATGTAAAATTATATCTAACTTTGAGAATGACTCCTGGGCTTATACAATAATTTTTTAGGGTGGTTCCCAAACTTATTTCCATGGCCCCCCTTTCAAAAATCTAAAATTGCTAACGCCCCCCTTCCCCCCTCTCGATTAAAATCAAAATCAATCAATTTCAGTATCTCTTTTTCCTTTCTTGTAACCAATTAAGACTCTTAGAGTTGTTATCGTGGTAGTGAGAGGACAACCCTTGTTTGTATTTTAAATTTTAATTATTTTTATGCCCGTTTGCACCGACAAATTTAAGCGGGGCTTAGCTTAATCGTAGCGTAAAAGCCATGGCAACCATTGTCTCAATAATCGTTGCCATGGATTTTAAGTTCCGCTTAAATTTGTCGGTGCAAACGGGCATTAACGAATTAAATTAAAATTTAATCTTCCCCATTGACATGACCTGTATTGTCACAAAAAAATTCAAGATGGCGGCCAATAAAAATTGTTTAACCTCAAAATATATTAAATAAATTTAAATGGAAGCGTTCTAATTTTCATGTCTATAATATCTCATCGTTAATAGCGACCCTGTATAAATATATGATTGATTATGATTAAATTAAAAATATTAAAATGGTGGACAAAAAAAATTTTTACCTCAAAGATGTGAAATAATTTCAAATGGAATGTTTAAATCGGTGCTGTTAGTGCGCCATAGTTAAGCGGGGCGAATAGTAATTAATTGTGGGCGTTTGTCAATTTTTTTAAATATATCTTTCTTTTCAGTAAATTAATTGTTGTGATAAAAAATTTAGTGGATAATGCAATATCGATAGTCTCCATTGCGAAAGATAATATACTATTCAAAGCAATGAAAGCTCTACAGTACATCATGAGATTTGTATCTCGGTCTCGTTTGTTATTCCGCGAGCTTTATCCCGAGATGAACGACGACAGTTTCGAGGAAAGTTTGAAAAGTTTGTTACATAGTATCGTAACGATGATGTGTCAAACGTCGGACACATTGCTTCGAGAACAAGGTGCTTGCTTAAAGTATTTGCCTAGTACAATTCCTGATATTTTAAAGGTGTTTAATGCTAAACAATTGAGGTAAGTACATTAATTTGCCCTACATCTGGAGCCTCCCTTTCTCTTTTCTAGTATTATTTTGTGCGACTTACTGAAGAATATCCCTCCAAATAGATTAACAAAACAGAAAATGATGACTATTAATGAAATAGTGCACAGCAAGTTATTCCTGTATCCTGAATGTCGTCAAATTCTCTTACCAGTTTTTACAAAACAAATTAAAGTATTGTTCGAAACTAGTGAAGAGGTATGTACATTTTTTCGTGTTTGGCTTTGCTTGGCTTACATATTAATTATTCATGATACATTAAAAATGAAAAAAAGATTATTGTTCATACCATTGTTGTACAGTGTATATATGAAGCGATTAAAATATTACTTGCACTGTGTTATGTTGCATTTATATCTGCACAGTTCCTTCCAGAAAGTAAAGTTTTCAAAAGATATTTGAAAACAGGTATTGTTATTTTCTGTCTGCACACAGTTGTCTTGGCCACCGAGTACTGTCATGAGCATTATAGTTTTACAGGAACAAATTCTGTCGAAAACGAATCTTCCATTTCTCTCGCCTCTACTGACTTCTTTAACTCTTTCTCAAGGTACTTTGGGCATTTTTATCTCTGTTCGCTTTTTGTATAACTTGTTTTAGTGTTTTGCTTGGCTTAATTGTTGCATCTTTTTTAACTTCAGATTCATGCACGATTTTTATTGCATTTATTGGAAGTATGTTTTTAATCTAGCACGATTAATTTGCATGAGCAATGAACTAAACATTGGGTGAAACACTTTTTGCGTTTTTGAATTTAAATAAAAATTTAAACCTCTCTCTCTCGAGAGAGGTCAGCACTAGGCATCTACTAACATGTAGAAAAAATTCATTCAATTATGTTACACTATTTTTGTAGTTAGCTTAATTGTAGGAAATGCATTTATAATAATAAAGTTTTAATTTTTTGTCACTTATAATTATTGCACAAGAGGTTTGTATTTGACCGAGTAAATTTGGGTTTTTTAGTTAATGAAAATCTGTTGCCTAGCAATTAGACGAGAAAATCTGTCAACTAATAAAAATGCGACACTGAAGGACACCTGAGACACTTCCTTTAAGCGGTCCTTACTGTTGGCGATACGAAGAAAAACTTCTTTGTTGATTACGATGAATTTTAATGTTAATTATTTGAATATCCAAACGGATTGGTTTATTCCAGTAGATTTTTATCGCTCGAAAATAAACTGCCTTACGTCTAACTAGGCTAACCCCCCTTTTAATCCACAATTAAAATTGCAGGGAACTCTCACTTTGCCACAAATTCAACTTTAACTAAACATGTCTTCATGACTTACTCAACATTTAGGAGTTCTCGCTACTTAATATATTTTTCCTGAAATTAAACTGCTAATTCTTCACTACTATTCAGATAAATTTCACTCAATAATTGCACTTTTGGTTCTGTAAATGGCAAAAGGTGCCAACAAACTCTCTTACAATCCCATCTGTCTCGCTTCGCTTATGTCGAAAATGCACATCTTTATGGAAAATGTACCAGTTATCGCTTTTTATTTCCGGACACACTTTTGTTCACGTTCGCTATGAAGCGGAACATGTGTAAATTTTCCTATGCCGAACAATATAAATTCTAAAAAATACATTATGTTATCAAAAATCTCTAAACCTTCCCCATATAGTTTTATTCGTTGAAGTTTTTTAAAAATAACAGCGACTATAGTTTCGGCGTACTGCCATCATCAGGCGATGTGAAAGTTAACAGGAAAACGGTAAATTACAAACGTTGAAGACGGATAAGACGAACATGTTGTTTTTTTTTAATTATAAACTGGCCGAAGCCAAGTGAAGAACCTGAAGGGTGGTTAAAACGGAAAGGTTGTCCTAAGTTTCAAGACGAATTAATTATCAAGCCTTGTTAAGACAACCAACCGGGGGGTTGAATTTTTACATTAAAGTTGAAATTTGGGTTAACACATTTCAAAAGAACGGGGGGGAATCTACCGAATTGTCAATCATTTCGAGACATGCCGTCTGCATGATCTCGAATTTAAACTTTACTTAAATAATTTAAATATGTAGTCATCTTAATAGTTTCAATACTTTTATAAGTTTATTTTTTCCCCCCCGTTCTTTTGAAATGTGTTAACCCAAATTTCAACTTTAATGTAAAAATTCAACCCCCCGGTTGGTTGTCTTAACAAGGCTCGATAATTAATTCGTCTTGAAACTTAGGACAACCTTTCCGTTTTAACCACCCTTCAGGTTTTTCACTTGGCTTCGGCCAGTTTATAATTAAAAAAACAACATGTTCGTCTTATCCGTCTTCAACGTTTGTAATTTACCGTTTTCCTTGTTTAACTTTCCAATCGCCTTGATGTCGGCAGTACGCCGAACTAGTCGCTTGTTAATTTTTTAAAATAAACTTCAACGAATAAAAACTTATATGGGGAAAGGTTTTAGAGATTTTGATAACATTTATATTTTCCAACCCCCATTTCGAGGCATACGATGGATCCAACTCAAAAAAAAAAAAAAAAAAAAAATCTAAAAAATACTTTTTTAATTCTAAAGCGGCCACGCGTTATACCCCATTGGTTACGTTGTAGGAAAATTCCAGCAATTATAAAAGAAATGGTATACCGGCAATGGTGGCAATGACTAACTTTTTTACTGAAATCAAACGAGTCTTTGAAAAATGTAAGAAATTAGGAAGGAGAGGTTCAATATTAAAAAGAAAAAAATAAATATCATCCAAGAATTAAAATCACGTGACATTAATATTAATATCAACAGTATAACCTACAAAAGATAGTGCTACAGAGTTTTTGATTCATTTTCAAGTGGGGTTAATTTGTTTGAACACCCTGTAAAATTGTGATTATGTATAATATCCTGTGTAAAATAAGGACACTGCTGATCAAATTTGGTTTCAGTCTAATCATACTTCCACTAGGAGAGTTGTATGGTGTTTCCTTATGAAAATCGCGATGGTGCTCTGCTAATTTAGAATGCAGGAAAAACTGAAACAAATAGAAAGAAGTTTATGGAAGAATTGTAAAAGACTAAATTCCCGCCCGACTAAACTCTGCGACGGGGTCTGTCTTTAACCGTTTATAAATAATCATTTACATGAATTGGATTTTTTTCGTGTTTACGTCCGCAATATCTTTGAATTCATTTCTGCACAGTTTAATACACACGTGTTGTCGGGGAATTTTTTGTGTGTGGAAAATTAAAAATTACATGGTCTATTTTGGTCGTGGCAAAGAGAAGTGAATCAATGAAAAGCACGCGTGGAGAATTCATTCAAACCATGTTTTCATAGATCTTGTGGAACATTGACATATTTAAATGCTTATTCTTAATAAGCCGTTGGAGATATGCTCCTAATACTGGGGTATCTGTTGCGAAAATGAAAATTCTAAGTTACTACCAGGAGAACATTATGCGAAGAAGTTTTAGAACTTTGCACGAGGAGATTAGAATGTTGGGAGGAGGTGTTTTTCCACCTAATACAAAGATTAGCTGTTAGGAAAATCTAAATTTTCGCTGGATACTTGGAGAACATGATAATTGAGAAGGTGTGTTTTTATGTTCACCCCATTTTTTTTTTCACACTTGTATCACGATTAGGTAGTCTCGTATAGCAACCACAGAAACAGAATTCTGTGTGAAACAGATTGTTTTAGATGTCACTGTAATCTTAAAGACAGGTGATAATAATTAATTTGTTTTACTACAGAATACTTGTTTCTGTGGTTACTCTTTACAAGACTGGTTTCATAAAAATGAGCCGATATTTGTTTGCATATGGACATAATTTCATATTCTAAACACCTTTTCTTAATAACCGTTTGCAGGATTATTGATCAAAATGGCACTATACCTCAACATAAAATTATTGTTTTCTTAATTGTAATGGCCATCTTGGATTTTAAAAAGTAAAAGTGTGTTTGAAATTTTTTTCAGGTCAAGCAGGTCTTGATCCCAAAACATCAAAACGATATTCAAAAATGTTTATCGATTACATGTATAGGTGAAGTCATTTTGGGGACGCACTGTATACCATCAGGACTAAGAACAACCAATAATGTGCTTTTTTGTTGTGGAAAATAGAGATGGGAATTAATGTCCGACATTCATAGCCTAGTTTCCTGGTCGCGATCAATATTTGCGGGGCCAGACTTTTGTTCAATATCTGGACCGGATAATTCCAAGCCACCTATACATTTTAGGCTATACAGTAATACATAAGTTGTTATACTAAATAATCATTAAAACAATGTCATCTATTTGGTGCACACTAGTACCGCTATATTTAAAGAGATTAGAGTGATTAGAAAATTACCACAAAAAGTTCATCCAAGGTTTAGTGTAGCAATAGAGCCATTTTTAAGCAGCATGGGTTAAGCTAACTAGCTTCGAGTCTAATTGAAGTAACTCGCCAGGTCTGACCATATCCATATCCACTTTCAATAAATTGAATTTTGCCCGCCTCTACCAAAAAACCTCTCATGTACCAACAAAATTAAAAACTCTGTCAAATTCGTAAACTACAAAAACCCTTAACATTATATCAATTGCTAAAATTTTAACCATGATCTATTAATAGTAATAATAATAATAGTATTTATTCCATAGACAAACAGGTTTGTGTGGAAGTTGTCAACAAATATCTGAATATTTTAAATTACATTGAATATTATAGATAAAAAACAAATTACACATTACATAGCGACAAACAAGTTACATTAACCAGTAAACCAGTAATCAACAAAGTAGACAGATATAAACAAATTTGAGTACAAAACGTTACTCACTCTATAATTATTAATTATTAGTAATGTTTATCGAATTCATTTTGGATTATCAAATAATCAATAATCAAATGATTGATCCATGATTAATTGGTAATATCTTTGGGAGAAAAAGCATGATTTTTTTAATCTTATAGTTTCACTCTTCTAAAGCACATCATAGTTTTGAAATTGGTTTGCATGCATAGAAAGGATTGTGGCATACTTCTTGGTGATGGTTTTAATTTTTAAAATTTAACTTTAGTTTATAATAACAATGTTTATTAACTATATATTAGTGTAGTTGTACCCCGGGTATTGTAGGGAACTGGAGTGGGGCGTCAGGAGGGCCGCAGACAGTTTCGCTCGGTGGCCAAGCTCGCTCGAGTGCTGGGTGAAACTCAACATTGTCTTAATCAACACAGAGGATATTCAGAAGAGGTGAATCGCCAAAAACTTATCTTTCACCATTTGTGTCACTATGTGCTTACCCTTTTTTTTTGGTAATAGGTTGAATTGTGCATCAAAATACTCAGCGATGTTCTGGATTTGTTGTTTCGGAAAGATGTCGGTTCTACCGTGCACGATATTACAGAAATAATGCTTGTAGATCTCCGCACTGTTATTCAAAGTCATATAAATATGGATAAAGAAAATCCTTACTCTGTAAGTGCTACCTAATCCGAAGATCACCAAATAATAACAGTTTTTAGGGTAATTTAGTCGCAATTATGATCGATATCTTTCGTCAAATGACAGATTATCATTATGATAAGTACATCGGTCAATTCGGGACGAGAACTGATATTTTAGACTTTTTGATGGAAATTTTGTTGGTTTTTAAGGAACTCGTAAATCAGTCAGTTTTTCCATCGGATTGGTGTGACATGATTATGCTTCAAAATTCTGTGATATTGAAATCGTTGCGATTTTTCTCGCATACCATACGAGATCATTTTTTTGCCAAATTTGACAATCAAGCATGGAGTAATTTTTTCCATTGTGCTATCGCATTCATGACCCAGCCTGCGCTTCAGCTGGAGACTTTTTCGCATAATAAACGAATGCGAATCATTAAACGTTACAAAGATATGCGTAGAGAAACAGGCTTCGAAATTCGTTCTATGTGGTTTAATTTAGGTAGGCCTCTTATGTGAGAGTATTGCTTTTCATTTTCAATTTTAGGCCAATATAAGGTCCAGTTTGTTCCTAGCTTGGTCGGTTCAATTTTAGAGATGACTCTTATACCTGAAGTGGAGTTACGCAAAGCGACCATACCCATATTTTTCGATATGATGCAGTGCGAATTTTATTCGTCTCGATACGAAATGGAGAGTTATGGTGACACAAAACGCGATTCATCACATATAAAGGCGAATTTCTGCGACTTCGAAAATGAGATGATAGCAAAGTTGGATATCTTGGTGGAAGGTGGCCGTGGCGATGAGCACTTCAAAAATCTATTTCATGATATTATGATCGATTTATGCAGTCAGCATACGACCATGAAGGACGATGGTATTAAATTCGTCAAAATGGTCTCTCGTCTGATGGAACGATTACTGGAGTATCGGTCGATTATTACTGATGAAAATAAGGAGAATAGAATGAGCTGTACTGTAAATTTATTGGTAAGTAATGTGTATTTTAACAGCCATTTAATCACTATCAAAGTGATCAAATCATATGTGCATTGGTCCAAAGCGAGATAAGGTTTTTTTGGATTTCAATTTAAGGTTAAGTTTTTGGATTGTTTGCGCTGTGGTTAACATCGACATGTAGAGATGGACTGCGCGTGTCAATGCTAAGCGCGGATACTACAGGTTAGAGACATTGAATTTATAACTATCAGAAGCGCAGGTTAAATGGCAAGATATGTGACTGTTTTCAATAGTTTAAATTACAAGACGTAGATGTCTCTACCATCGAGAAAGATGAATAATAATGTCAGTTTTTTACCTTTGTTAATTATTATACAGGAATCTGTAATGAACCCACTATCTCGATTTGTAATTGTTGTATACAGAATTCTAGATACCCAAGAAACGTACTTATAAGGCATTTATGTGGCACACAGGATGTTGAATGACGTAAGATAAACATTCTTCCTTTCATGAATCGTGACCTACTTAACATTCCTTAAGGAAGATTGAATTACATTTGAACAGGAAAGCAAAAAATACGCAGGCATCCTTGATCACTGTTACAGAAATTAAATGTACCTACCTATCTATTCTTAATTTTTGTGTGTATCGGTTAAACCGTTGCCACCGGTTAAACTACCTAGGACAGGGGTCGGCAACCTATTGAAACGGAAGAGCCAAAAATTACAATTTACAAAATTTCCCAGTTCTTAAAGAGCCACAAATAATTTTTGATTCAATATTATAGTTTTTGGCTATATACAGGGTCCTGTAACAGTCCGTCGGTTTTTCCTACATAGCTGATAGATACCTGGTAAAAATATTGGTGGTTGCGGATCTACAGAAATTATTTTTGAATGTACAGGGTGTTCCATTTTTACGATGTCAATTAATAACTGATCTTTTTAAATAGAACATCCTGAATATTTGGTTGTTTCAATGCCGTTTGTTCAAAGTGCTATAACTATTCTTTTTCAAATGGAACTACCACTATTTTATTTCGCTATTCGCTTTTGTCTTCCTTTAAATGTTTATAAGGGGTGTCCTGTGCTTAAACTCCGCAGTGTTTAGGTTATTCAATATTTTTCACAAAAGTACCTACTCATTAATTAATTACGTGTTTATACATCGGAGTAGGCTGGCTATAATAAAAAAAACAAAAGAATACCAGAAAGTAAACAAGTGTCAAAAATTAGATAATTATTTGCTGCAAGTATACTTTTGATACAAAATAAGATTAATTAAAAAGGCGAATTTCGAACAAATGAACCAATTTCTTTAGATAAATACGGAGAGCCGCAACTTTATAGGTATCAAAAGAGCCGCAGGTTGCCGACCCCTGATCTAGGATCACACGTCACACCTGGCAATTTTGATACAAAATCAAAAGGTCGTTAACCTCTTTTCTTTTAAATTCTAACGTTTGAAATTTGTTATCAATGGTTAATCGATAACTTATCGATAATTATAATCGATAACTTATCGATAATTATCGATTAATAGATAGTCAATCGATAAATTTTAAAAAAATGGTCGACCGGTCAACAAAAAAAGAATTTTTTGCGCATGGGATTTACACAATATATATTCTGACTATAATAAGCAAAAATAAATAAAAAGTGCGATTAAGACATTGAAAATATTTGCTTTTACAAAAGTTACAGCGATTTGATTGAAAGCTTTCAGGGGCGAAAATTAAAGCTGGAATTTTTTCCCTAAAAAAAAAGAAAAATGGAGGGTGATATTTTTCCGCGGTTACTTAGCAAAGAGGAAAAAAAATCCTGGAACAGCCTTAAGGCAATAGTCCATGGTTTCCCGTTCAGTGTTTCCTGGGAAACCATAGAGCTGAAAATTATGACGAGCTGACAGGATTTGGTTTTGTATCATGGGGTATAGAATGTCTCTAAAGAATAAAGATGCACAGGTTACATTCTCATTTAGGATAATATGGGAGCTTATTCGGAATAAGGACAACACTTTCTCGAGACAATGGAACTTAGGCACCTTCCCAAGGCCAGGAAGTTGGAAGCATGATGGAAGATCAGATTCAGTTGAACATGACAAAAACAGCAAAACTGTTCCATTTTTAAACATTTAGACTCTAAGATAAACAAATTATAAATGTAGAAACGTTACCATTTAATAAATCATGCCTATGTAAGTAGGATTCTATAGGTATTTTTATTTTTTGTTTTTTTGCATTTTTTTCACACAAAAACAAATACATAACCATTTTTTGTTCTAATTCTTATTTGTGGCTATAGAAGCAATAAAAATAAGGTATATATGTCCCATGCGCAAAAATGCTGTAGACTGGTGTAATTCATCGAAAATGTTAAAGGATTGGTCGATAAACCTATAATTACCGATAATCTATCGATTAATCTCACAACTAAACTATTAAGATAGATAATTATCGAGAGAATTTTTAATGACATAAACTTTTCAATGTTTAGGTATACCAGTTTACTTCTAACAAAAGCGATGTAAGAGCATTGTTGAGTTGCCATATGATCACAATTCACAACCTACTGCTGTACTCATTTTTGAGGATTATCGTCCACTTGATCACCTTTGATTTCAGACAACTTGAGCATCAAAAGATCCTGTTTTATTTAAATTATCTCTCGCAATACCAATACCAAAAAAACAAAAGTGTTAGCGAGTGTACGCATGGATGATGTAATATATCGATTGAGAATATATGTATATCGATGAGATTTATGAAAAAGTATCGATAGTTTTCTCTTGATAATTTCCGCTACTTATTTATTAATCAATAAATATCAGAGATAGACAATTTTCGTGGCAATAATAATCGATTATTATCAGCAGCTAACAATCATTATTAATTATTTTCAAAAGTTATCGATAATTATAAAAAGTTATCGATAATTATCAAACGTTATCGATCATTATCGAAAATTAGCGTTACGATTTATCGATAATTGTCGATTATTATCGAAAGTTATCGATAAGTGTTTAAAGTTATCGATAATTATCGATAGTTATCAATTAACGATTAATCGATAATTATCAGACTGAACAGACTTATCGATAAATCGATAACAATTTCATTTATCGCTCAGCTCTAGTAGGTATACGAATTCACGTAAACTGGGACCGATTTATTTGTGCACAATGCTGCATGGTTATAAAAAAAGCTGATTCGCGAAATTTAGTTATCAAATGTGAATGTGGAAATGAAGTAGCTGCCAACTGCCAACAATTCCACTACTGGACTGTTCTGAGGTTCATTTAAATTTGGGTAAATTTCGCCAACTTTTTTTATACCCTGGCAGCATTGTGCACACAGCAAATAAAATTAACACATCGGTTCCAGTTCACGTGAATTCGTATTCTGCCAACACGGCGGCAAATGTGTTGGTACGTTTTTTCTCTTCTCGCTGACCGTTGGTTTTCAAAATTCAAATGCTTGCAACGGACAATATTTTGCCTTCAAATTTTTTTTGATCGTTTTTTAATAACAAAATCTCCCGCTTTCAGTAAAAATGTGGAACCTGCCTATTATACTGCCTGTGAATAGAATGTATGAAATTGCATTCCTTCAAGGACAAGGACTGCAAGCTTCGTTCGTCTAAATGTATTATTATTTACATTACAAATTTACGCAATGCTTCTTAAGGGATCTATTTTTAGAACATTCCAATCCTATTTATAAAACCATTCCAATGATAACACAAAAAAACATCCCGAGTTCCTGACATCTAACGATTAAAAAGGAAAATATTCGAATGGTCAAAATAAATGGTTTGTAATGCTGCCATCTAATGTCAATGTAACGCTCCACTTTCGATCGCCCACGGACTTTCAAACGATCGAACTGCCCCTAGCGGCGGCCAGTTGGCACATGGTCACAAACTGTTATATGGGATCCGCGCTTCTGATAGTTAATAATAATAATAATAATAATAATAATCTTTAATTCTAAAAATTGTAAATAACAATTACAGAAACGTCAAATCACAAACAAAACATGTATGGACAACAGTAAATTTGTGGACTAACAATTCAGGTGCATTCAGTCATTAGGTTTTTATTACCTAGAGATATATAATCAACAAATTCATTTACTGAATAGAAAGAATTATTTTGTAATATTTGTTTCGTTCTATTTTTGAAAATGGAGTGGTTCATTTTTTTTAGAGTTTCAGGCAGATTATTAAATAATACTGAACCGGTGTAAAACGGAGATTTTTTATAAAATGAATGTTGGTGTTTTGGAATCAAGATTTTATTTTTACCTCTGGTGTTGTGATCGTGAATTTGACTTATTTTGTTAAATTTGTGTCGGTTTTTATGAAGATAAATAAGTAATTTAAAGATATACAGGGTGATTCCTATAGTACCTGCCACCGTTTGGGAGCGTGTAGGTGGTGCGTAGGGGAGTATTTTGATATAGGACACTTGGGGTCGGAAATCTAAAATAAGGTGCCAGAGCCAAATTTACCTTCTGGAATTTCGCGCCTGTAGGTAGTCAACCCAACCGGCCGGCGGTGCACACGGAGCGATCTCAGGCGGCGATGTGTGGCTGACACTTGATCAGAATTTTGTTTAAACCCACGAAATCCCGTCTGCAACGACGCGTATCAAGTGAATAACCACTATGGCAATAGTATAATAATAGTTGGCTAGATGTAGGAAGTGCATTGAGAACAACGGTGGCCACGTTGAACACTTGTAAACGTTATTGCTTTTGACTGTCGTTTTCCCTCCTCCCTCCCATGTCGCTTCCTCGCGCTAACTCGCTCTGCATCGCTCCGCGCGAAACGTCGGTCGGTTGGGTTGCCTACATACAGGCGTGAAATTCCAGAAGATAAATTTGGTTCTGGCGCCCTTATTTTGGATTTCCGACCCCAAGTGTCCTATATCAAAATACTCCCCTACGCACCACCTACACGCTCCCAAACGGTGGCAGGTACTATAGGAAT